GTTGTCATCTCTTTAAAATAATTTGTTATATCCATAAGATGTAAGATTCATGGTAACTACAATGCAAAAACCTATATTTACTAAAAAGCAAAAATTAAAACATACTACCAGAGAAAATCACTTAACTACAAAGAAAGACAGAAAGGAACATAGGAGTTACAAAACAACCAGAAAATAAGCAACAAAATGGCAGTTGTGAGTCTTTACCTAACAATAACAACACTGAATGTACATGGACTTAACTCTCCAGTTAAAAGGCACTGATTATAAAGAAACATGGCCCAACATATACTGCCTATAAAAAAATCACTTCAACTATAAAGACACATAGACTGAAAGCATAGGAACAGGAAAGATATTACATGCAACTAGAAGCCAAAAAACAAGAGTAGCTATATTTATATTAAATAAACTACAAGTCAATTCCACTACTGGGTATATATCCACAAGAAAAAAATCAAATATCAAAGAGATAGCTGCACTCTTATGTTTATTAATACACTATTCACAATAGTTAAAATATGGAATAAATCTAAGTGCACATCAATGATGAATGTATAAAGAAAATGTAATGTATATTCACAAGGGAATATCATTCAGACAAAAATGAATGAAATCCTGTCACTGTCACAAGATGGATGGAATTAGAGGCCATTATGTTAAGTAAAATAAGTCAAGTACAGAAAAACAAATACTGTGTTTGCCAGATCAGTAGGGAGATTACAGTTAACCAAAATCTATTGTGTATTTCAAAATAACTAGAAAAAAATAATTTAAATGTTTCTAGCATAAAGAAATATTTAAGGTGATGGTTACCCCAATTCCCTTGATTTGATCTTCATATATTACATGAATGCATCAAATTATCATAGGTACACCAAAAATACGTACATTTATCAATAAAAAACAATTTTATGAGAGCAATTTCAACACAAGCAGTCTAGACCTGAGGCCACATTCTTTATTAACATCCATATTACTATAAATACTCTACCTGGTTACAAATAAAACAATTATACATGTTTAAAGAAACAATTGGATTTTTTAATGACCAGACAACAAGAGACTAACAAAAGTGATCAAGTATATCTGATAATGGACAATACAAAAATAAAACTGACCCCTACCTTGTATTACACACGGAAATGTCAGTTCTAGGAAGATTGGGAATATAAATATGAAAGTAAGATAGTAAAATTTCTGCCGGATGCGGTGGCTCAGGCCTGTAATCTCAGCACTTTGGGAGGCCAAGGCGGGCGGATGATGAGGTCAAGAGCTCAAGACCATTCTGGCCAACACGGTGAAACCCCATCTTTACCAAAAAATACAAAAATTAGCTGGGCATGGTGGTCCACGCCTCCCAGCTACTTGGGAGGCTGAGGCAGAAGAATTGCTTGAACCCAGGAGACGGAGGTTGCAGTGAGCCAAGATCGGGCCACTACACTCCAGCCTGGCGCCTGGCAACAGAAAAAGACTCTGTCTCAAGAAAAAAAAAAAAAGATAAAATTTTTAAAAGATACCATAAAGGAATAGTCTTCATGACCAAAGAGTAAGGAAAGATTTTTTTGGACAGGATACAGAAAGCACTAACTACAAAGGAAGAGATTATTAAAATGAACTACATTAAAATTAAAACCTCTCTCCAGGTGTGGTGGCTCATGCCTATAATCCCAGCACTTTGGTAGACTGAGGTGGGTGGATCACAAAGTCAGGAGTTCAAGATCAGCCTGGCCAACATGGTGAAACCCTGTTGCTACTAAAAATGCAAAAATTAGCCAGGTGTGGTGGCACATGCCTGTAAATCCAGCTACTCAGGACCCAGAAGGCAGAGGTTGCAGTGAGCCAAAATTGTGCCACTGCACTGCAGCCTGGGCAACAGAGCAAGATTCCATCTCAAAAAAAAAAAAAAAAAAAAATTAAAACCTCTATTTATCAAAAGATACCAAAGAATGAAAGAGCAAGCCATAGAGTAGAAAGACTAGAAAGGTATATGCATGAAAAGATACTGGTAATAAACATAACTGATAAAGGGCTTGTATCTAGAATATATAAAGAACTCCTACAATTCAATAAGCAAAAGACATACTCCAACAGCTAATAGGCAAAAGATTTGAACTGGTACTTCACAAAAGAAAATAACCAAATAGGCTTTAAACCTATTAAATTATGTTCAACATCTTTAGTCATCAGGAAAAATGTAAATTTGAAACTGCAATGAGATACATCCATTGGAATGACTAAAACTAATAAAAAACTAATAATACCATATGTTAATGAAAAAACGGAGCAACTGAAAGCAATCTGAAAAAGTGAAAGAAGCCAAAAACAAAACAATATTTTGTTTTTGGAAACAGAGTCATTCTCTGTTGCCCAGGCTAGACTGTAATGGTGCAATCTCAACTCACTGCAACTCCCACCTCCCAGATTCAAGAGATTCTCCTACCTCAGCCTCCCAAGTATCTGGGATTATAGGCATGTGTGACCACGCCCAGTCAATTTTTGTATTTTTAGTAGAGATGGGGTTTCACCATGTTGGCCAGGCTGGTCTCAAACTCCTGACCTCCAGTGATCCACTCACCTCGGCCTCCCAAAGTGCTGGGATTACTGGTGTGAGCCACCACACCCATGTATTATTTTATTCCATAGAGTTCAAAAAGTGAAAAACTAATTTATGTTAGTAGTTAGTAATTAACTTTGCAGGATAAAAGTAATTGAAAAGGAGATGTAAGGAAGACTTTAGGGTGATAGTAATATTCTACTCCTCATCTAAATGATGGTTACAGAAACATGTTCAACTGTGAAAATTCAATGAGCTGTACATTTGAATCAGGCACTTTCCTGATTCAAATTGAATACATACTGTACCTCAATTTAAATTTTACACTTTGAAAAAACACAGACTACAAAGTAAAAAGAATGAGAACAAAATAAAATCATTTTCAGATACACAAAAATTAAGAGTTCATACCAAAAGACTTCACTAAATGAACGCTGAAAGATGAAAAAAGCAAAATGATCCTAGACTGCAGTGTAAAGGTATAGAAAGATGAGGCCATGCAGGTACGTAGGAGCCAAAGTATGTAAGTCCAGCATGCTAAGCCAAGGAATCAGAGGCTCCACAAGGATCCAGGGAGGTTCTAAATAGCAAAGTGATTTGATCAGGCATGTTCTTATTATTCTGCCCTTCCCCTTTGTGTGTTTGCTTCTTTAAGTTAACATTCAAGCATTATTTTCACTCTGATCTCACTGTGATCTATCCTTTTGAATTTCTAAACCACTTCTTCAAGAAGATAGAGTGTTAGAGCCTAGGTCTCCACTGGCTACTTTACTGTAGATTAGACAACTGAAGTAGCAAATTAACTCAAATTAACTAGTATCCTCCATTGATACAGTACTGTTTTAAAAAGTTGGGCCAGGGACAGTGTTTCCCACCTGTAATCCCAGCACTTTGGGAAGCCAAGGCAGGCAGATCTCTTGAGGCCGGAAGTTTGAGAACAGGCTAGCCAACATGGTGAAATATAAAATATTTAATCTCTACTAAAAATATAAAAATCAGCCAGGCATGGCAGCAGGTGCCTAAAACCCAGCTACTCAGGAGGCTGAAGCACGCATAAGAATCACTTGAACCTGGCCGGGCGCAGTGGTTCACGCCTGTAATCCCAGCACTTTGGGAGGCCGAGGTGGGCGGATCACGAGGTCAAGAGATCGAGACCATCCTGGCCAACATAGTGAAACCCCATCTCTATAAAAAATACAAAAATTAGCCAGGCGTGGTGGCACGAGCCCATGGCCCTAGCTATTTGGGAGGCTGAGGCGGAAGAATCACTTAAACCCAGGAGGTGGAGGTTGCAATGAGCCAAGATTGCACCACTGTACTCTAGCCTGGTGACAGAACAACACTCCATCTCAAAAAAAAAAAAAAAAAAGAATCACTTCAATTTGGGAGATGGAGGTTGCAGTGAGCTGAGAGCACACCACTGCACTCCAGCCTAGGCAACAGAGCAAGACTCTGTCTCAAAAAAATAAAAAATTTAAAAAGAAATAAGTTGTTTACAGGGCAAAAAGAGGTAATGTTAAAAATAAAAAACGATAGCAGATGAAGGAAAGAGCTGGTGGGAAGAGCAAATCTATGTTTAATTTTGCTAATTTCTCTTTTGCTGATATGTTTCCAGAAAAAAATCAATCACGTGAAAGTTACATAAGATGAGTGTGATACAAGATTTTTAAAATGTTCATTATCAACATATATACTACTTTGTTTTGTGAGGGACTAAAAAAATAATTCGTATCAATGTCTTTTTTGTTTAAGAGATGGGGTCTCGCCGGGCGCGGTGGCTCAAGCCTGTAATCCCAGCACTTTGGGAGGCCGAGGCAGGTGGATCACGAGGTCGAGAGATCGAGACTATCCTGGTCAACATGCTGAAACCTCGTCTCTACTAAAAATACAAAAAATTAGCTGGGCATGGTGGCGAGTGCCTGTAATCCCAGCTACTCAGGAGGCTGAGGCAGGAGAATCGCCTGAACCCAGGAGGCGGAGGTTGCAGTGAGCCGAGATCACGCCATTGCACTCCAGCCTGGGTAACAAGAGTGAAACTCCGTCTCAAAAAAAAAAAAAGAGATGGGGTCTCACTCTGTTGCCACTGAAGGCTCACTGAAGTCCAGCTGCATAATCACAGATCATTGTAGCCTCAAATCCCTGGGCTCAAGTGACCCTCCCACCTTAGCCTTTCAAGAAGTTGGACTATAAGCACATACCACAACACCCAGCTTTTTTCTTTCTTTTACTTTTTTTTTTTCTTGGAGAGAGAGTGTCTCACTATGTTGCCCAGGCTGGTCTCAAACTACTGGACTCAAGGGATCCTCCTGCCTCAGCGTCTCAAAGTGCTGAGATTACAGGTATAAGCCACCATGCTAGCCAACAGTTTAAATTTCTTAAACAAGATCAACTATTTAAAAGTTTACATCAGTGAAAAACTAAAATTTTGCTTTATTTAAAATACCTGGAAGGTTTCCATTGTGGTCCACCTCTTCTATGCTACAACCCCATTTAACAAGAAGTTGCAAGCAGCCAAGCCGCCCATGAAAGGCTGCATAATGTACAGGTCTCCATTCTCTCTTATCGGTCACACTGGGGTCCTAGAGGTAACATTCACAAGGACTCAGTTTTTCTCCATTTTGTAGGGAAAACACTAAGCCTATCAGCTTAATTCTGTAAATAAGAATTGGAGGCTGTTCTTAATACAAAGCAAACACTTAATATAATAGAAAAATGTCCTGCAACCACTAATTTGAATATATGAGCTAATAAAATACTTGTGAAATTTTATAAAACAGGCTTTTCGAAAGAACAAGTCACATAAAATAGTTTTTAAAAAGGAACTTGTCATCTAACCAGTCACAGATTCCTGATCAATAAAATGAAAAGGATAAACTGAATTATCAAATAGTATCATTGATAATATAAACAGAGTTAACAAAAATTTTTCATAAGTTTTCACTCTTTCTCAAACTATAGAAACACCAACTCTCACCACAATGTCTTCAATGTTTGGAGTTCTCTTCTTCTAAGTTATTTTTTACAACCACTACATAATAAATATTGCAATAAACAAAATTTCTAAAGAAGTAAATCATTTTCTAAATTAGGATATAAGAGTTTCAAAACAAACACAGATACACACACAAAAATTCATAAAGATTTACAATCACCTGGTTAAGATTTGTTTGAAGCTTCGTAATCTAACCAGTTAAACTCTGAATTGGCATGAAGAACCCAAAACCTCTAAAGTACTTTGTAATACAAATTGGTTTTGAAGCGGGGACGAGAAGATTTGTCTGAATTATTGATTCTATGTTTAAAGATAGAAAAGCTAGAGTGAAAAATTAAATTAGTTTCCCAAAGTCATATAAGAGATTTCAAAAGTCAGGAAGAGATAACTAGACTACCAAATGCTATTCCATCTATATGATCATACATTAGCATATGTTAACAGGAATCACTCACCACTCCACTTCGGAGCATTATTTGTAGTGTGAAAGAATGTCCATGAGTTGCAGCAAGATGTAAAGGAGTGCATCCCCGGTCATCCTGGGCTGTCAGATTTGCTCCATTTATTACAAGAGCCTAAAAATAGAGAAATAGGAATGACATTACATGAGTATAGATGTTACACCATCAATGTGGATGCAGATTATGCAAAGGCAGAAAATTTATTAATCTATAGCTTAGTTATTATGTATGCTCTTATATATGTGCCACAGGCAAACCATAAGAAATTCTTAGCTAATGCTAAGAAAATGTTTGAGGTCTTTTTTAACATTGCCTAGGTGACATTTACAATATTGATTTTCCATTTTGACTTTAGCATGTACATATAATTTATAAGACACATCTTTCACAAGCACAAATAAATAGTCACTAAGTTAAATTCTTTACAGCTAACCTAATAAAACTGAAATTTAAACTTACACTAATTCAAAAGCAGAATCCTCTGTTAACAGGGTTTTGGACTCAATAAAAGAATTAATTATTAAATGACAGGTTCTAAGCTCCAAATTAAGTTTCTAACTACATCTAAAGAGGTTCTATCTGAATTTGCAATTGGCCCAGTTTCTATATATGTGTTATACCATATACAGAGTAATTGGCTTGAAAGAGTTATTAGTCCCGGCCAGGAGCAGTTGCTTATGCCTGTAATCCTGGCATTTTGGCAGGCCAAGGTGGAAGGATCACTCGAGCCCAGGTTTTAACACTCTTCTTTATACTTTACTATTCCTGTAATCTTTATCTCCAGTCCCCTTTTCAACTGCCTGGACCTTCTCTAACCGGATGACCTACAGATACTTTAAACTCAACATCTTTCCTTCCAATCTTCCTTGCTTTTCCGATTTCCCTACTCATTCCATCACAATTATCTGTTATTCTGACTCAAAATTTGAATTTTCACTATACTCTGTCAATGTTTGCTTTGCAAGATGTCTTGGCTCATTTTCTTTCTTTCCCTCTGCTACCACCTAATTTTACCCTCTCTAGTTTGTGATTGGATTACAGCAAAAAATCTCTTAACTGATCTTCTCGTCTTTAAACTCTTCCTTTGTCCTAGTAATCCTGGACACACTTTGCTAGAATAATTCCCTGAAATACTGTTTTCATTATCTCATTCCCCTGTTAATGTCCATGTGGATGTTTTTGTATATTTATGTGTATGTATAAATATATATACAACATAGTCTCACACACACAAACACATATATAATGTATATAAAAACTCTATTTTCTCAGCCAGGTGCAGGGGTACATATTTCTAATCCCCGCATTTTGGGAAGCCAAGGCAGGAGGATCACTTGAGCCCAGGAGTTCAATACCAGCCTAGAGAATATAGGAAGACCCCCTCTCCCGGCGACCAACATTAGCCAGGCATGGTGGCGAATGGCAGTGGTCTCAGCTACTTAAGAGGCTGAGGTGGGAGGATCGCTTGGGCCCAGGAGGTTGATGCTTCAGTGAGTCATGACCATAGCACTACACTCCAGCCTGGGTAACAGAGCAAGACTCTTTATTGAAAAACAAAAACAAAAACAAAGCCTCTCTTTTTTCTCCAGGTATTCACAGAGTTAGTAGGGGGAGAGGAGAAAGAACTCTCTTTCCTATATAAATGAATCTAAAATATTCATTCTGTTTCTGCGGCAACTTTACAAAACTAATCTACCAAATTGTAGTTCTTAACAGTCCACACCTCAAATCATCTATACTCAGTCAAACTCCTATAATGTTATATCCCCTGAACATATCACGATTTTCCAAGTTAGGAGCTTCTTACAGAAGTATAGCTTAGAGATTAATAGGACGAGTCTAGGTACAAATCCTGGCTCTGTCACTTGCTTAGGCAAAATACTTAACACTCTGAATCTGTTTAGCAATCTACAAAAAGGGAACTCACAGAACTGCTTGTGTTGAATGAAATGAAGATAGACTGATACATACATGAGAGACTGATAAATGAGAGACTGACTGACACATAATAAATGTTCAAGAAGTGATCATCATTATTTTTATGTGCTCCTAACATATTCCTTGCCTCTACAATGCTTCCTTATTATTTACCTCTTTAAAATCAACCCACTCTTTTGGGCTTAGCTGATATTTGATTTCCTCCATTTATGATCCTTCTACCTCCTCCTTACACAGTTCTTCTCATCTATATTTTTTCATTAGAACCTTAATCATAGTCTTGGCTTTGTATTGTTTTGTAACTCACTGAGTAGAGCTCCTGTCCCTTCAAACAGAATCTCAGGATTCTTCAGACAAGGACTATGATGTGGACTGTCTGTGTCCCTACCTCAAATCTCATTTGAATTGTAGTTCTCATAAGCCCCACAGGTCACGGGAGGGACCTGGTGGGAGATAATAGAATCATGGGGGTGATTGCATTCTCATGAGATCTGATGGCCTTATAAGAAGCTTTTCCCACCGGGCGCGGTGGCTCAAGCCTGTAATCCCAGCACTTTGGGAGGCCGAGGCGGGTGGATCACGAGGTCAAGAGATCGAGACCATCCTGGTCAACATGGTGAAACCCCGTCTCTACTAAAAATACAAAAAATTAGCTGGGCATGGTGGCGCGTGCCTGTAATCCCAGCTACTCAGGAGGCTGAGGCAGGAGAATCGCCTGAACCCAGGAGGCGGAGGTTGCGGTGAGCCGAGATCGTGCCATTGCACTCCAGCCTGGGTAACAAGAGTAAAACTCCGTCTCAAAAAAAAAAAAAAAAAAAAAAAAAAAAAAAAAAAAAAAGAAGCTTTTCCCCCTTTGCTCAGCACTTCTCTCTCTCCTGCTACCCTGGGAAGAAGGATGTGTTTGCTTCCCCTTCCACCATGATTCTAAGTTTCCTGAGGCCTTCCCAGCCATGTGGAACTGTGTGTCAATTAAACCCTTTTTCTTTAAAAATTACCCAGTCTCAGGTATTTGTTTATAGCAGCATGAGAACTAATACCAATGTTTAATAATATGACTCTGTATTCCTCCAAATTCTGGTCGATTTTAATACATTGAATAAATATAATTATTCTAACAAACCAGATCCCACCAAATATTAATGTGTCACCTTGACCAGGTAATACATTACATAAGAAATTTTAGAGGCCGGGCGCGGTGACTCAAGCCTGTAATCCCAGCACTTTGGGAGGCCGAGGCGGGTGGATCACAAGGTCGAGAGATCGAGACCATCCCAGTCAACATGGTGAAACCCCGTCTCTACTAAAAATACAAACAATTAGCTGGGCATGGTGGCGCGTGCCTGTAATCCCAGCTACTCAGGAGGCTGAGGCAGGAGAATTGCCTGAACCCAGGAGGCCGAGTTTGCGGTGAGCCAAGATCATGCCATTGCACTCCAGCCTGGGTAACGAGTGAAACTCTGTCTCAAAAAAAAAAAAAAAAAAAAAAAAAAAAAAAGAAATTTTAGGCATGGCAAATGTCTTAGTCTGTTTAGACTGCTATAACAAAATATCATAAATTGAGGAGCATTTAAGCAACAGAAATTTATTTCTCATAGTTCTGGAGGCTGGAAAGTCTCAGATTAAGGTAGTGGCAGATTCTGTGTCTGGTGAGGGCTCGTTCACATAGATAGTGCCTTCTCACAGCATCCTCATATGGTGGAAGAGTCTAGCCAACTAGCTCTCTGAGGTCTCCTTCATAAGGGCATTTATCCCATTTATGAGGGCAAACCCCTCATGACCTAATAACCTCCCAAAAGGCATACCTCTTAATACTATCACCTTAGGGTTCAGATTTCAACATATTTATCTTGGAGGACACAAACATTCAGACAACAGCAGCAAGCTATAAAAGAGATACTCTGGTCATGACAGTGAGATTTCTCAAAACAACCCAGATAGTCAACTACTTCAAAGAAAAAAGAATTTCTGGTTTCATACCATTTGTTTAAGTGGATACTTAGTATCACAATATCTGAGTTGTGGAATCCAGTAAGCTCTTGTTTAGAACATAAAACTAAATCTATTGGATCAAATAATTAGAATAATAGCAATAGCACAACAGAGCTATCTTAAAGTAACTGAACTTAAAAAAGTTTTATTTTTTGAAAAAAAATTATTATTACCTGTATACAAGCATCCTGACCCCTGATTGCAGCTATGTGAGATGCTGTCCAGCCTCTTGTTGTTACATGTGTGATATCAGCTCCATGCCAGAGCAGCCAATGAAGACACTAAGAAAACAACCATGTTAACAAGTGATAAGGTAGATGTTTTTAACATTTTTAGTTTTTTTTCTTTTTAAGACAAAGTCTCACTCTGTCACCCAGGCTGGAGTGCAATGGCGCTATTCGGGCTCACTGCAACCTCTGCCTCCTGAGTTCAAGCAATTCTCCTGTCTCAGCCTCCCAAGCAGCTGGGATTACAGGCACACACTGCCACGCCCCGCTAATTTTTATATTTTTAGTAGAGACAGGTTTTCACCATGTTTCCGCAGGCTGGTCTTGAACTCCTGAGCTCAGGCAATCCACTCATCTCGGCCTCCCAAAGTGCTAGGATTACAGGCATAAGCCACCACGCCTGGCCTGACATTTTTATCTTTCAAATTTGGTCTGTTATCATAAAATTCCCACTGTAGCCCAAGAAGTATCGTTAAGTGAATGAGAGATCTATGTATAAGAAAAGCAAAAGCACAAGCGCCTGACAACATTTGACCTCACTCTTGGGTAAATAATAGAGACTAGTGGGAACTGTGGCAAACTGGAGACCACATTTCTTGACTGTAAAGTGTAGACACTACTAAATTAAAGTCAGTGGTTGCTATGAGTGAAATGTTGATCCATGTTTGTAAATATTCTGTTTGACCAATACTGTGCAGGCCAAAGAAAACACATCTAAGTGAAATTCACTCAAAGGCAGCCAGTTTTCAGTCTCGAACATAGATCTTTTAATGGGTCCAGAGCTTTTGCATCAGAGCAAACATTGTATATATTTTTGAGACAGAGGAAAATCTTTATTTCTGCCTTCATTCCATTTTTTATCCAGTCAACATTCAAAAGCCAGTTGCTCAGTTTCCATGAAGCTGTGCGGTTCTAAGTTAGTTTCTAAATTCTGAGTTCTAACTTGATTGAACTATGGTCTGAGAAACTATTTGCTAGGATTTCCATTCTTTTGCATTTGCTGAAGAGTGATTTATTTCCAATTACGTGTTCAATTTTAGAGTAGATGCAATGTGGTGCTGAGAAGAATGTATATTCTGTAGATTTCAGGTGAGTTCTGTAAATGTCTATTAGGTTTGCTTGTTCCAGGTCTGAGTTCAAGTCCTGGATATCCTTGTTAATTTTCTGTCTTGTTGATCAGTCTAATATTGACAATGGGGTCCTAAAGTCTCCCACTATTATTGTGTGGGAGTCTAAATCTCTTTGTAAATCATTAAGAACTTGCTTTATGTATCTGGGTGCTCCTGTATTGGGTGCATATATATTTAGGATCCTTAGCTCTTCTTGTTGCATTGATCCTTTTACCATTATGTAACGTCCTTCTTTGTCTCTTTTGATCTTTGTTGGCTTAAAGTCTCTTCTCTGATTTTTTTTTTTTTTTTTTTTTTGAGACAGAGTTTCACTCTTGTTACCCAGGCTGGAGTGCAATGGCGCGATCTCGGCTCACTGCAACCTCCGCCTCCTGGGTTCAGGCAATTCTCCTGCCTCAGCCTCCTGAGTAGCTTGGATTACAGGCATCTGCCACCATGCCCAGCTACTTTTTTGTATTTTTAGTAGAGATGGGGTTCCACCATGTTGACCAGGATGGTCTCGATCTCTTGACCTTGTGATCCACCCGCCTTGGCCTCCCAAAGTGCTGGGATTACAGGCTTGAGCCACTGGGCCCGGCCCCTCTTCTCTGATTTAAAACTTAATCAGAGAAGAGAATTGCAAATTCTGCCTTTTTTTTTTTTCTCTCTCTCTCTCTATTTGCTTGGTAAGTCTTTATCCCTTTATTTTGAGCCTTTGTGTATACTTGCATGTGAGATGGGTTTCCTGGATACAGCACACCAATGGATAATGGCTTTTTATCCAATTTGCTAGTCTGTGTCTTTTGATTGGGGCATTTAGCCCATTTACATTTAGGGTTAATATTGTTATGTATGAATTTGATCCTGCCATTTTGATGCTAGCTGGCTGTTTTGCCCATTAGTTGATGCAGTTTCTTCATTGTGTCGATGCTCTTTATCATTTGGTATGTTTTTGGAGTGGCTGGTACTGGTTTTTCCTTTGTTTAGTGCTTCTTTCAGGAGCTCTCGTAAAGCAGGCCTAGTGGTGCTGAAATCTCTGAGTAATTGTTTGTTCATAAAGGATTTTATTTCTCCTTCGCTTATGAAGCTTAGTTTGGCTGGAAATGAAATTCTGGGTTGAAAGTTCTTTTCCTTAAGGATGTTGAATATTGGCCCCCACTCTCTTCTGGTTTGTAGGGTTTCTGCTGGGAGATCCACTATGAGTCTGATGGGCTTCCCTTTGTGGGTAACCCAACCTTTCTCTCTGGCTGCCCTCAGCATTTTCTCCTTCATTTCAACCCTGGTGAATCTGACGATTATGTGCCTTGGGGTTGCTCTTCTTCAGGAATATCTTTGTGGTGTTCTCTGTATTTCCTGGACTTGATTATTGGCCTGCCTTACTAGGTTAGGGAAGTTTTCCTGGATAATATCCTGAAGGGTATTTTCCAGCTTGGATTCATTCTCTCCATCACATTCAGGTATACCTATCAAACGTAGATTAGGTCTTTTCACATAGTCCTATTTTTCTTGGAGATTTTGTTTCTTTTTACCCTTTTTTCTCTAATCTTGCCTTCTCATTTTATTTCATTGAGTTGATCTTCAACCTCTGATATCCTTTCTTCTGCTTGGTCAATTTGGCTGCTGAAACTTGTGTATGCTTTGCAAAGTTCTCATGTTGTGTTTTTCAGCTCCATCAATTCACTTATATTCCTCCCTAAGCTGTTTATTCTCGTTAGCATTTCATCAAACCTTTTTTCAAGGTTCTTAGTTTCTTTGCATTGGGTTAGAACATGTTCTTTTAGCTCAGAGAAGTTTCTTATTACCCACATTCTGAAGCCTGATTCTGTCAATTCATCACACTCATTCTCCATCCAGTCTTGTTCCCTTCCTGGTGAGGAGTTGTGATCCCTTGGAGGAGGAGGGGCATTCTGGTTTTGGGTGTTTTCATCCTTTTTGCGCTGGTTTCTTCCCATCTTTGCGGATTTATCCACCTGTCATCTTTGTAGTTGTTGGCTTCCAGATTGGGTCTCTGAGTGGACATCCAGTTTGTTGATGATAAAGTTATTTCTTTCTGTTTCTTAATTTTCCTTCTGATATTCAGGCCCCTCTGCTCTAGGACTGCTGAGGTCCACTCCAGGCCCTGCTTGCCTGAGGATCACCTTCAGTGGCTGCAGAACAGTAAGGGTTGCTGTCAGTTTCTTCTGCTGCTATCTTTGTCCCAGAAGGATACCCGCTAGATGTCAGTCTGAGCTCTCCTTTATGAGGTGACTCTTTGGATATAAGCGGGTCAGCGAGCAGCTTGAGGAGACAGTCTGGCCTTTACATGTGCTGAGCTGTGAGCTCCATTTTTCATTCAGAGCTGCTGGGCAGGTATGTTTAAGTCTGCTGTAGCAGAACTCATAAATGCCTTTTTTTCCCCCCTGGTGCTCTGTACCAGGGAGTTAGGGCTTTATTCATAAGTTTCTGCCATGCTTCTGCTTTTTTTCAGGGCTGCCCTGCCCAGTAAGCAGGCAGCCTAGTCACAGTCTGCCTGCAGAGGCCTTGCTGAGCTGCTGTGGGCTCCGCCCAGCTGTTGTGTGAACGTCCCTGTAGTCCCTCCGCGCTTTTGCTGGGAGCTGCAATCCTGAGCTGCACCTATTCGGCCATCTTGGATCTGTCTTCCCATAAACATAAATTTAACTCAACAAATTCAGCAACATGAGAAACATTTATTGTGAACCTACGACGTGACTCCAATATGCCAAACACTATGCTAAGTATTGTGGGAAAAAAAAGATGAGTAATTTTTTTCAATTGTGTTTGCAGCTGCCACTGTGCCGCCGTCACTCTCCAACGCCAGTGTCGCCTCTCGCTTGCTGAGCTCCAGCCGAAGGAGAAGGTGGGTAAGTAAGGAGGTCTCTATACCATGGCTCATACAGAGCAGACTGCCCGCAAATCTACCAGTGGTAAAGCATCCAGGAAGCAACTGGCTACAAAAGCCACTCGCAAGAGTGTGCCCTCTATTGGAGGGGTGAAGAAACTTCATCATCACAGGCCTGGTACTGTGGTACTCCGTGAAATTAGACATTATCAGAAGTCCACTGAACTTCTGATTCCCAAACTTCCCTTCCAGCGTCTGGTGCGAGAATTTGCTCAGGACTTTAAAACAAATCTGCGCTTCCAGAGTGCAGCTATTGGTGCTTTGCAGGAGGCAAGTGAGGCCTATCTGGTGGGCGTTTTTGAAGACACCAACCTTTGTGCTATCCATGCCAAATGTGTAACAATTATGCCAAAATACATCCAGCCAGCATGCCACATACATGGAAAGTGTGCTTAAGAATCCACTATGATGGGAAACATTTCATTCTAAAAAAAAAAAAAAAAATCTCTTCTTCCTGTTATTGGTAGTTCTGAATGTTAGATAATTTTTTTCCATAGGGTCAAAAGGTAACTAGGTATACGACTGTGAGTGGAAAAATAGGGGACAGAAATCAGGTATTGGCAGTTTTTCCATTTACTTTTGTATGTGAATTTTTAATATAAATGCAGAGACGTAAAGCATTAATGCAAGTTAAAATGTTTCAGTGAACAAGTTTCGGCGGTTCAACTTTATAATTATAAATAAACCTGTTAAATTTCTCTGGGGGAAAAAAAAAGATGAGTAAGACCCAAATGGTATCAAAGAGCTCAAAATCTAATAGCAAATAAAATTTAAAATTATTCCCTTATTAACATTTAAAAGATTCAGAGGTAGCACTAAGGAGTCAGTAACTAATTGGGAGATACGGACAGGAAAAATACAAAGCTTTACCGAGTAGGTGCTGACTGACCTGGATTTCGACCAGGTAACCAGTGGGGAGAGGTGAGACACGCAGATGAAACAGCATGTGCCTACTACCTGAAGTAATTTATAGATTCCATACTATTCCCATCAAGCTACCACTGACTTTCTTCACAGAATCAGAAAAAGCTACTTTAAATTTCATATGGAACCAAAAAGAGCCCATATAAACAACACAATCCTAAGCAAAAAGAACAAAAAGAACACAGACCAATAGAACAGAACAGAGTCCTCAGAAATAACACCACACATCTACAACCATCTGATACTCGATAAACCTGACAAAAACAAGCAGTGGGGGAAGGATTCCCTAATAAATGGTGCTGGGAAAACAGGCTAGCCATATGTAGAAAATTGAAACTGAAGGCCGGGCGCGGTGGCTCAAGCCTGTAATCCCAGCACTTTGGGAGGCCGAGGCAGGTGGATCATGAGATCAAGAGATCGAGACCATCCTGGTCAACACGGTGAAACCCCGTCTCTACTAAAAATACAAAAAATTAGCTGGGCATGGTGGCGTGTGCCTGTAATCCCAGCTACTCAGGAGGCTGAGGCAGGAGAATTGCCTGAACCCAGGAGGCGGAGGTTGCGGTGAGCCGAGATCGTCCCATTGCACTCCAGCCTGGGTAACGAGAGAGAGCAAAACTCCGTCTCAAAAAAAAAAAAAAAAAGAAAGAAAATTGAAACTGAAACCTTTCCTTATAACTTATACAAAAATTAACTCAAGATGGATTAAAGTCTTAAACATAACACCTAAAACCATAAAAACCCTAGAAGAAAACCTAGGCAATACCATTCAGGACGTAGGCATAGGCAAAGACTTCATAACTAAAACACCAAAAGCAATGCAACAAAAGCCAAAATGGACAAATGGGATCTAAGTAAACTAAAGAGCTCTGCACAGCCAAAGAAACTATCATCAGAGTGAACAGGCAACCTACAGAATGGGAGAAAAATTTTGCTATCTATCCATCTCACAAAGGTCTAATATCCAGAATTTACAAGGAACTTAAATTTGCAAGAAAGAAACAAACCACCCCATCAAAAAGTGGGCAAAGGATATGAACAGACATTTATCAAAAGAAGACATTTATGCGGCCAACAAACATATGAGAAAGAAGTTCATTACTGGTAATTAGATAAATGCAAATCAAAACCACAATGAGATACCATCTCATGCCAGTTACAATGGCATTCATTAAAAAGTCAGGAAACAACAGATGTTGGAGAGGATATGGAGAAACAGGAACGCTTTTACACTATTGGTGGAAGTGTAAATTAGTTCAACCACTGTGAAAGACAGTGTGGTGACTCCTCAAGGACCTAGAAATAGAAATACCATTTGACCCAGCAATCCCATTACTGGGTATATACCCAAAGGATTATAATCATTCTACCATAAAGACATGCATACGTATGTTTACTGCAGCACTATTCACAATAGCAAAGACTTAAAACCAACCCAAATGCTCATCAATGATAGATTGGATAAAGAAAATGTGGCACATATACACCATGGAATACTATGCAACCATAAAAAATAATGAGTTCATGTCCTTTGCAGGGACATGGATGAAGGTGGAAACCATCATTTTCAGCAAACTAACACAAGAACAGAAAACCAAACACCACATGTTCTCACACATAAGTGGGAGTTGAACAACGAGAACACATAGACACAGGGAGGGCAACATCACACAGCAGAGCCTGTTGGGGGTGGGGGGCTGGGGGAGGGAGAGCATTAGGACAAATACCTAATGCATGCAGGGCTTAAAACCTAGAAGATGGGTGGATGGGTGCAGCAAACCACCATGGCACATGTATACCTATGTAACAAACCTGCAAGTTCTGCACATGTATTCCAGAACTTAAAGTACATTAAAAAAAAAAAAAGAAAGAAAGAAACGGCATGTGCAAAACCTATGATGATATGGAACAGTAGACTAATTTGGAAAATGATACTAGTCACCAGTACTATAACATAAAACAATTATAATGGGAGATAGAGAGAGAAGTCTACGATGTTAAATGGCTTTAACTTTATCCGATAGAGGACAGAGAGTTACTAAAGGGTTTTAAGCAAGGGCTTAAGTAATATCAGATTTTAGTTTTATAGGTGGACCACACAAAAAAGAATGACATTGATTAGATTTAAGGACATGAGTATGAGGATGAGGAGGACAAATTCAGGAGACAAAGACAGACCTGAATCAACTAACCTAGTGACCGGTTCTCACTTCATCAATGTTTATCATCAACTGTTCCTTCATCTAGACAAATGATAATGTGTTTTGCTTCTATGAACTATTAAAACAACTCAATGATGATTCAAAGGCTATTGCCCTGGAAAACTAAGAAAGGCAGGGAAAGTGTAACAGTTTTAGTGTTAGACTAATTGAATTTCAGATGCCACTCAGATATGCATGAGCTATGATCAAGCACCTATTACATAATACAAAAGTCAGGAGAGAAAGCAAATTAATGAATTATGTAGAAGTGAAAAGCCAAAGAAGTCTAAAAGACTGACTGGAGAAAGTATAAAGTAGGAGAGAAATGTAAACAACACTACATTTACAGGGTAGGAGTGAGTGAGGAGTAGTAGTAGACTCACTTAACCAAAGTAGACTAAGTGAGAGTAGTAAGAGAAGCTGAAAGGGCATCAGAAATGAGATGAAATAAATGACATGTCCTGATGTCTATTAGAATACGGCAGAGTAAAATCAGTACTTCCCCCTTCTCTTCAAAATCACCCAAAAGCAAAGAGCAATAAAAAAAAAAAAAACAAAAAAAAAAACAGAAAACTCCAAAAGTGCAGATCAAACAGGAATGTGAGAGGAAACAGCAGAGAGAACCACCTACTCAGGGATACCAGCTCACAAAGAATCATCAGGCTCCACTGAAAGGCCAAAGCAAAAATCCTTTGTTTATAATTACACTTAAGGGAAGCACATAAACTGGTAGAAGGAGAATCTCTGAACCAGATTTGGTTACAAGAAGCAGAGAAGTACAGATTAAGAAGACACCACAGTTCACCTGGATCATCCCAAAAAAAAAAGAAAGAAAAGAAAAAAAAAAGATATCACACAAGACTGCCATATTCATAGAAGGAAGTCATGTTTGTGTGTGGTAGGAGTAAAAACACACTGCACTGTTAACAGACCTATTGCAGCTTCTAAATTAAAATAAGCCCCCATACACATAACCTTCAGTCATGAGAAAAGTGCTAGTTATCCTTGGACAGAGGCCAAGGATCAGATTTGCATTAAAATACTCACTAAGCAGTTGGTACTAGCTAAAAATCGAAACCAAATATATATCCAACAATAAAAAAACAGATAAACTCTGATACCAGTCTAAGAATAGAATAAACAACATGACTGAAAGAAATGAACTACCGTACATATATGTAACCACATGGATAAAACTCAAAAACATACTGTTCAACAAAAATAGCAAGATGAAGAATAATATACATAATGTGAGGTCATTTATGTAACATAAAATAGAATTCAAAACAATTATAAAATCATATGTAATACCAGCATAAAAATAGGTGGGAATAACAAACAACAAAATCAGGGTAATAGTTATTTTTGGAGTTAGAAGCAGAGGAATGGCACCTGAGAGGGGTACTAGGGACTTCAAATGTACCTGCAACATATCATTTCTTTTCTAAAAATCTGATGCTACTAAAGCAAAACTATTAGAATAAGTATTCATTATATTATCCGCTCCAAGTTATCCTCTATGCTTGCCTTTGGAACCAAATCACCATATTGTGAGGAAGTAAAAACTAGCTCACATGTGGAGTCCTCACAAACAGGCCCACAGGGACAAAGTTTACAGTGCCTAGTCTATAACCAGCATCAACCGCCAGAGACATCTTGAGTGAACAAGCCTTCAGAAGAACCTAGTCCCAGCTTTTTAATATTCCCGCTGAAGCCCCAGATATCATGCAGCAGAGACAAGCTGTCTCTGGCATCCAACTCCTTGGTTTGTTACGAGTATAAATAAATCATTATTTTATGATGCTAAATTTTGGGATAATTTTGTTGTAAAGCCCTAGCAAAGTGGAATACCCAAATATTAAACTGACTATGACTGAAAATATATGCAATACCTAGCGTAAGGTCTCAGCCTTGCTTGCTAAATTTACAAAGCTGCTATAGCTGTAAACTTATCTCAGTTTAGTGATATACATAGTTTCTTACCTCCAAACTTCCAGAATGTGCTGCCCAATGTAAAGGGGTAAACTTATAGAGAACATCGACTTCATTAATGCTGGCTCCACGTTCCACTATTTCTGAAAGCTGCTTTATATCTCCAGCTCTTACTGCATCATGTATTCTGCCAAAATGTACCTTCTTCCTGGAACCTATTGAAAAGTCAAATTACTTACAATGTACTATAAAACTGTGAAGAGAAAAAAAAAAAACTAAAACAATGGTCCAATAGAAAGCACAAAATCAGTTTATTTTCAAATAATTGACTACAAAGATGTTTGTCATTAATATCTTAAACAGACTTCCGGTTCCAACACTTACATGTAAAAACCATGAAGGTTGATACTCTCATCCTTATAGAGAAAAAGGAATAAACTGAAAATGAACAACTTTTCTTAGACCCATCAGAGAACTGGGGTCTCAAGGCAAACTGCCACCCCCAAATCTGGAGAAACAAATGCAGAAAAATATAATCCTGGAGCAGAAGCACTGGAGCCAAAAAGTGGTAGAAGCACTTCCATGGTAATTTTGATGACTTACCAGAGGTTGAGTACGTAGTAGCCAAACAATGAGAAACCTGCAGGGCCCACAGTCTTCCTTAGGGAGCCACTACACTTTTAGAGATTTTTACCTTCAGACACCTCACTAGGTCACCATTGTGAAATGCCAGGAACTCATGTCTTTGGCAGAGAGAAGGGGAAAGTACCTATTTTGAAACATGCCCAACGTGTTCTCCATAACGAAGGCCTCCCTAGTGAAAAAGGCTTCACCAGAGCCTCAGCTCATAGATGCAGATATATTTTATCAAAATCTTTCTTATATTTCTAATTTATGTCTTACGCTAAGACAGGAATGGTAGGCCACAATTTTTAATTCACTTACTCTTAGTGCTTCATATTTTATAATTTAATTAATAAGCAATGTGAACCAGAGGCAATAAAGGCATCTAAGCATGAACAGACAGCTATTAGAGAAGGATGACTGAGTAACAGTTCAATTGCAGAATTCTCTGAACAAAACAGGCATGATTCCTGTCCTGAAGTTGTTTTGACAACAGCTCACCAACACTCCTGGCAAATGATCTGTGCAACCTTGTACTACTGTTTATCTATATACATGTTATCTCCACAATCAGAATGTTAATTTCTTGAGGGCAAAAATCATATTTTATACTGGAATTCTATCTTACTCTTACTATATCTTTTTATATACTCTATTTATATCTTTGCTCCTACCAAAATGCTATAAATGTACTCAAAAAGCCTTTCGGAACATCTACTGTGTGCCAGGTACTATGATAACATGATAGAAAATGGACAGGGGTTTAATACCTTTTTTTCCACCAACACATTAAAATCTATTTGGATAATTACACAATGAAAATAAAAACCTGACAGCAGTGTCCTCAGAGAGTACAGGTAAAATTAAGGAGAAACAAAACAAGTCATAGAAGAGGAGGAAACATTTGAGCAAGAACTTGAAGAATTAAGATATATGGCAAATGGGAAAGAGAGCATATGTAAGGTGTGCACACATACACATACACATACACACACACACACCTTTAATGAATGTTCACTGAGGCTGGGCACCGTGGCTCACACCTGGAATCTCAGCATTTTGGGAGGCTGAGGCAGACAGATCATGGAGTCAAGAGATTGAGACTATCCAGGCCAACATGGTGAAACCCCATCTCTACTAAAAATACAAAAATTAGCTGGACATGGTGGCACACACCTGCAGTCCTAGCTACTCAAGAGATTGAGGCAGGAGAATCACTTGAACCCGGAGGAGGAGGTTGCAGTGAGCCGAGATCGTGCCATTGCACTCCAGCCTGGCAACAGAGCAAGACTCCATCTCAAAATGAATGAATGAATGATGAATGAATGTTCAATGACGTTAATCCCTAGGCTGGACCTTCCTTCTTCTCCTTTACAATAGCACAGCTAGACCTACAAATGATGTTTTGTTTTGTTTTGTTTTTTTTGAGACAGAGTTTCGCTCTTGTTACCCAGGCTGGAGTGCAATGGCGCGATCTCGGCTCACCGCAACCTCCGCCTCCTGGGCTCAGGCAATTCTCCTGTCTCAGCCTCCTGAGTAGCTGGGATTACAGGCACGTGCCACCATGCCCAGCTAATTTTTTTTTTGCACTTTTAGTAGAGACGGGGTTTCACCATGTTGACCAGGTTGGTCTCGATCTCTCGACCTCGTGATCCACCCGCCTCAGCCTCCCAAAGTGCTGGGATTACAGGCTTGAGCCACCGCGCCCGGCTACAAATGATGTTTTAACCACTCTACTTATTTTACACAGAGACACTCCTCTAATCCATTTTATACCAATTACCCTGATGACTTCATGCCCCTACACCAAACTGATACTGGTTGTCCACTGCTATTCTACAAAACCAAGTCCAAACTCTCAGAATGACCTCTATGGCCTACCATAATTTGGCTTCATCTAATTTTATGGCCTTTTTTCTCACCATACTCCATCCTGATTCATTCACTCATCCACCCACCCATCTACTGAACATTAGTTTGGTGTCTACCATAAGGATAAAAAGATGAAGACACCCTCAAGGAACTTACAGATTAGTAGAGAAGATACAAACACAAAATACAAAATAATGTGGTAAAAGCAATGATGGAAATAGTCATAGGAACTTGTGAAAACACAGAAGACTTCAATCTCAGCTAGGGCAGGAGAGAAGGGGAACTGAGACGGATTCCTGGAGAAAGAAATATCTAAGAATCTTCAATGATTAACATGAGTTTGCCAAATAAAGTGGGAGCAGTGAAAGGCCTCCTAAACAGCATGAACAGTGGGATGTGGTCAAGAAACGGCATACACACACAAAGACACACACACACACACACACACACAGACACACACACACAATCCTATTACTAAAGCATTGAGGTGAAAAAGAGGCTAGAACTAGGTAAGAGGCAGACAGTGGTGGAACTTATTTCTAAAAACTTGGAATTGAGCAGACAGTGGAGAATCACTTAGGAATTTTAAACAGAAGAATTATTTATACTGACTGAGGTTTGTCAGGCTGAGTTTACAAGGCTAGATTCAGGGAAGATAATTTATTGAATGCACAGCAAAAAAGGCAAGACTAGAGAGTAGGTAGATCATGTAAGAAAACAGTTTTACAATAGTCTAGACCAGAAAAATGGAGGCCCTGAACAGTGGGAACAGAAAGGGAGACAGATTTAACAAATATTAATAAAATTCGAATGAACTAAACTGGAATAGATACAGCAGGTGAAATAAGGGAAAAGTAATGAAACAACTCCAAGGCGTCTGGCTTTGTCATCTCAGTGCTGTGGTGCCATTAATTGAGACAGCAAACGCTGAAGGACAGAGAGGAGACATAGATAGAAAATTACATTTGGGACATGCTGCTCTTGAGGTACCCAAGGAAGATTTCCAGAAGGGAGACATATATTTAAGTCTGCAGCTCAGAGGAGAGATACAGAGTTCAGGTCTCAGTGTTAGGTGTGTCTCTGCATTAGAATACTTTTTCTGACACCCCTGCTCACCCCCTACTGGAACCAGTGGTACTCTGCCATCCTTTATAACACTCACCTCACTAGTCATTAGTTTTTCAGTATTTCTCTTCCTCACTAGAAGTTAAAGAATGCACCTGTCTTCTTTACTGATAGTTCCTTAACACGGAGCACAAAGTAGGCACGCAGTAAATATTTACCGGATGGCTGAATGAGTAACATAGATTTGGGGGCCATGAGGAGTGAAGTCATAGAAAATGACAAGAAAAAGAGAACCAATGATGGCATCACCAAGGGAGAAAATCAGCATTTAAGAAGAGGGCAGAAGAAAAGAAAACAGCAAAGGAAAGGGTCACTCAATGGAGCGAAAGAAGAAAACTCAGAAAGTCTAATTTGTCATCTCCACGGGGTCAAACGCTGCAAGGAAGTCAACGAAGAACTTAAAAGGGTCCGTAAGAGTGAACAAGAGTTGATGTCAATCTGGGCAAGAAGACTCGGAGGAATGGTGCAGATGGAAAAAAAAGGAAAGAAAGCTGAAACGAGATAGAATGGGGGAGAGGTGAACAGCTTTGGTTCACCCTGAAACCAGATTTAAAAGGGAAAGGGGGAGTGACCACTAATAAAAGGAAATGCCAGAAAGGGCTAAGGCGGTTGCGGGCTGAAGTGAGAAAAGGAACGTGGCAGAGACGAGGGCCAACGGAACTGTCTGACTTACAGGGGTCTGCAGTCTCCCTAGAGGAAGCGGAGGGGCCTGAATTGGGCACCCCGGGCATGGTGCAACACCTCCGACTCTGGGGAGGAGTTGTGTCGAGTCCCCTGCTGCTGCGGCAGTCTTCACCTGCTCTCACCCACGAGCCACGGCAGCGGCAGCGGCCCTCTTCTCCGTCGTCTCCAGTACTGGGCCCACCGCCCTCTCCCTCTCTCTCCCAGGAGCTGCAGCGGAAACCTTCGTCTTCACCTTCTTTCTCCCAAAAGCCACCGAGGCGGCGGCTGGCGTCTTCACTGCCGCTCACACCGGAGGAGTCGCTGGCTATGTAGCCGAGGTCTTCACTTACGCCCTCCCAAGAACTACTAAGGCTGTGGCCGTCATCGACACTCCCTCCCTCCCAAGAGCCACTGAGGCGGCGACCGCTATCGTCACTGACTCTCTCCGCAAAGTCACTAGTTCGCGGGTCCCGGACGTCACTGACTCCCTCCCAAGTACCACTGAGGCGGAGGCCACGGTCTTCTCTGGCTGTTGCCCTGGAGTCGCTAGTTTGGTGGCCTCCAACTTCACTAAGATTCACGTCGCTGCTGCAGAAGCTGCGGTCTACCCCAACCCTCTCCAAAGAGCTGCTGTGACTGTGGCCACTATCTCCCCCAACTCCCTCCCGAGAGACGCTGCGGCGGTGGCCGAGGTCTTCACAGACGCTTCTCAAGTCACTGCGAGAGAAGCCGGCGTCTCCACTTAGGCTTCCCGTAGCGACCCTGGAGCGGCGGTCGCCCTCTTCAGGTTTTCTCTCCCGATTGTTTCGAACTCTTTCCCTTGACTTGGTGCGGGAATGGCCGTGTCGGCTGCTTATCGTCCACACGTGGTGGCTAGTGCGACGGCCGCCGTCTTCGTCTGCTACTCCCCGCGAGTCGCTGTGGCGGCGGCCGCTTTGGGCTGGTACCTTCTCCGAGTAGTTTTCCAGCCTCCCGACTCCAGCCGCTTGTCTGGAGGAGCCGCAGGCTCGTCGCCTTGGAAACTAGCAAACTTCCGACGCGCTGAGGTCATTTCCTGTTCCTCACGGTTACATCACTTCCGGTTTCGTTTCCTCCAGGTTTTTCTCATCTTTTAGTCCGGACTAATGGGGTCCTGGTGTGAACTCGTTTTTGGTGAAATTCGGCTGGGTCTCACCCGAGCCTATCTAGGTCCGTCTCTGGAGTGGCCTGTCATCGATCTCGCCCTCCATCGCTCAGCGACACAAGTGGAGGCCCCAGGACTGCAGTCTGCGTAGGTGACCTGTGTGGCGCGGGTCGGGCGGGGCCTTTTTATATTTGAGCAAACCTTTCTCAGTGGTGGTTGAAAGGAAATATGTTACCCTGTCATTTCGCGAGTATGGAAAAAGACCTAAAAGAGAATTTAGCAGCTGCAACCGCTGTTTTTATTGAGCACTAGCGGGCCAAACTTTAATAATCGCTTGTTAGGTGTTGCCCATATTTTGAGACTCTATATATCGGTACTTTGTTAAGGCCAGGCAGCAGGTAAGTTGTAAAACCAATATAAAAACATAGGTCGTTGGTCAAAAGACTGCTTCAGGTCTCCTGACTCCAAATCCGAGATTCCTTTCACGGTAGCGTGTTTACTGCTCAGATATTTCTCTTCAACCCTATTGCCTAACAACAGGAATTAATTCTTTCACTATTTATTGCAAATATATGGGTCACGTTTTGTGCGAGCATCTGAAAATACAGAAATTAGTAAGAATTCTCTGCCCTCCAGGGGCATCACCAACTTGGATTCCCCTCTCAGCCCAGTTTTTCCACCCTATTGCCTTCTCCCTTCAGGAATAGTCAACTGGTCCTGGACACATACCATGCTTTATCATATCTCTCTGCCTTGTCATGTGCTGTTCCTCTTACCAGGAAAGTAGCCTGCCTTTCCCTCAGTTTTGTTCTGTGAACGCTTTTGGGAAATTCTCTTGATGCTACCTCTACTCTCCTGACGTACAGTAAATTGTCTTTGAATTCCATCACGTTTTGTAATATTACTAATTGCTGTTTATTGAGTTCATGTGATCAGCCTGGCACTGTACTAAGTGCTTTATATTAGTTTTCATGTTCTTTTTTCACACCAACATGAATGAGTTTGACTCAGTTCTTATTATAACCTGCCAGAATAAGTATTCCTCTTCCTCTTTACAGAGTGAGAAATAAGGAACAAAAAAGTTAATTTCTTTAGGATAGACTGCTAGTAAGTAGTAAATACCTGACTTAAGATTCCAACCTAGGTCTTGGATTTTGCTGCAGGATTTCCTCAAAGTCCCTGAATTCCCACAACTTTTTATTAGATCACTTATCACATTGTTTTATAATTATCTGTTTAACAAGTTTTTTTCACCTCTCAAGGACCCTGAGCTTCTGGAAGGTAGGGACTCTATCTTATCATCTTGACATTTCTGACATCTAAAATACTTCATTTAAGAGAAGGGCTTAGTAACTGTTGTGTGGGTTGATCAATTGACTGTCAGGCAGGTGAACAAATAGGCTGAAGATAGATAGTTTTTCACTGTTGGAAGTGAATTTGGGATTAGTCATCCTAATCCCCTCACTTTAGAAATGGGGCAACTGGGCTGGGCACAGTGGCTCACATCTGCAATCCTAGCACTTTGGGAGGCCAAGGCGGGTGGATCACCTGAGGTCAGGAGTTCAAGACCAGCCAGGCCAACATGTCTCTACTAAAAATACAAAAATTAGCCAGGCATGGTAGCAGAAGCCAGTATCCCAGCTGCTCAGGAGGCTGAGGCAGGAGAATTGCTTGAACCAGGGAGGCAGAGGTTGCAGTGAGCCAAGATCGCACAATTGCACTCCAGTCTGGGTGACAAGAGTGAAACTCCAGCCAGGCGTGGTGGCTCACGCCTGCAATCCAAGCACTTTGGAGGCCAAGGCGGGCAAATCACCTGAGGTCGGGATGTCAGGACCAGCCTGATCAACATGGTGAAACCCTGTCTTAAAAAAAGAAAAAGTGAAACTCCATCTCGAGAAAACCAAACAAGAAATGGGGCAACTGAGGCCTTTTGTATACGAGGTATTTCTTGAGTTACTAATGTGGGACAGTTTCTATGATAAATGATTTGCAAATACTATCCAACTTAATCTATATTGTTATTTTTATTTTTACAGATGAAGAAACAGCTCAGATTTGACCAAGATCACATAAGTAGGAGTTGAGGAATTGGAACCCACTATGACTGACTCCAAATTAATATAGTGTTTATAGCCACTTACATAATAATGGTAAAGGTTTTATTTTTTTCACTATACAATATGTAGTAGATAAATTTACTGAGGAAACGAGACAGCACATGACATATCTTAAAGGATACACACATGACAGGAAGGATTAGAAGACGAAACAGAAACAGAAAGCAGAGAAGCAGAGATAGTACAATCTCCTAAAATAAAAATAGAAGGAATTAAAAATAAAAGCAGAGGCCTAGCACAGTGGCTTATGCGTGTAATCCCAGCACTTTGGGAGGCTGAGGCAGGTGAATCACTTGAGGTCAAGAGTTCGAGACCAGCCTCCCCAGCAAGGTGAAACCCAGTTTCTACTGAAAATACAAATATTACCCAGCTGTGGTGGTGCACACCTGTAATTCTGGTTACTGAGAGGCTGAGGCAGGAAACTGGCTTAAACCCAAGAGACAGAGGTTGGCATTGAGCCAGGATTGTATCATTGCACTCCAGCCTGAGTGGCAGAGCAAGACTCTATCTCCAAAGTAATAATGAGAAGTTAATGAAATTGATAGTAATTAGCTGGTCGTTGAAAAGAACAATAAATAGACACTCAGCAAATCTGAGGAAGGAAAGGAAAGAAAATGGTATTGGAAACAAAGGAGGCCATGGAGGGACGATGGCTTGAGCCCTGGAGGTTGAGGCTGCATTGAGCCATGATTGCACCACTGCTCTCCAGCCTGTTCAACAGAGCTAGACGCTGTCTCGGAAAAAAAGAAAAGAAAGGGCAAAGGAACATTCTGCAAATGAGAAGGAGACTTTGAAAATCAGAAGCAAATTATTTTGTGTAAAGTTTTACACATTGAGTACCTCTTATCCAAAATGCATAGGACCAGAGTGTTTCACATTTTGGATTTTGGAGTATTTGCTTATACATAATGAGATATCTTGGGTATGGGACCACACATTAAACATGAAATTTGTTTTATGTATACCTTATACACATAGCCTGTGGGTAATTTTATACAACATTTTAAATCTGGTACATGAAACAAAGTTTATGTTAAGTATTTATGTGTGGAATTTTCTACTTGTTGGATCATGGCAGTGCTCAAAAAGTTTCAGCCTTCGGTGCATTTAGGATTTTGGGTTTTCAGATCAAGAATGTTCAACTTGGCCGGGCACGGTGGCTTCACACCTATAATCCCAACACTTTGGGAGGCCAAGGCGGATGGAACACAAGATCAGGAGTTCAAGACCAGTCTGGCCAAAATGGTGAAACCCTGTCTCTACTAAAAATACAAAAATTAGCTGGGCGTGGTGGCAGACACCTGTAATCCCAGCTACTTGGGAGGCTGAGGCAGGGAACTGTTTGAACCCAGGAAGCAGAGGTTGTAATGAGCTGAGGTCACACCACTGCACTCCAGCCTGGGCAACAGAGCAAAACTTTGTCTAAAAAAAAAACACCTGGCGTGGTGGTGCGGTGAGCCGAGGTCATGCCATTGTACTCCAGCTTGGGCAACAAAAGTGAAACTCCATCTCAAAAAACAATGTTCAACTTTTGGGAGGCCAAGATGGGTGGATCACTTGAGGTCAGAAGTTCAAGACAGCCTGGCCAACGTGGTGAAAACCCATCTCTACTAAAAATATAAAATTTAGCCGGGTGTGGTACATGCCTGTAATCCCAGCTACTTTGGAGACTGAGGAAAGAATCACTTGAACCCGGGAGGTGGAGGTTGCAGTGAGCTAAGAAAAAGAAAATTCACTTGGCTAATTTTTTCAGAAAATACAAATTTCAAAAAATTGACTCAAGTCAAAAAACTAATAAACTGGTAATTATAAAGGAATGTCCTAAAGCAGTCTAATCCCCCAATAAATGTCACCAGGAACAAAGCATAGAGAAGGATAGAGTACTTCCCAATTATAAAGCTAGCATAATCCTAACAGCTCTAACCGTGTCAAAAATTTAAATTCACATTGCCTGTGAGCCAACTGGTTGTTAGATCTTCAAAATAACTTGCTTTGATGCATGTAATATGATAGTCACGATAAAACTTTGTAATTGTTAATAATTAGAAATTTGAATATCCATCAGTAAAAGAACAACTAAATTATGTTGCATTCCTCATACAAAATACCATGCAGTGGTAGAAATGCAGATCTACATGCATTAATCTACATGGAAAAAGTTTTAAGATACAGGCAGTGAAAAATGGTGCAAAACAGTACATATGTGATTTCATTAAATTTTTTAAATATTTTTCTTTTTTTTTTTTTTTTGAGACGGAGTTTCGCTCTTGTTACCCAGGCTGGAGTGCAATGGCGCGATCTCGGCTCACCGCAACCTCCGCCTCCTGGGTTCAGGCAATTCTCCTGCCTCAGCCTCCTGAGTAGCTGGGATTACAGGCACGCACCACCATGCCCAGCTGATTTTTTGTATTTTTAGTAGAGACAGGGTTTCACCATGTTGACCAGGATGGTCTTGATCTCTTGACCTCGTGATCCACCCACCTCGGCCTCCCAAAGTGCTGGGATTACAGGCTTGAGCCACCATGCCCAGCCAATAGTTTTCTAATTCTATACTGAATTGTTACTCGGTCATTTTACAGAGCAAGAAAGAGGTTGTAAAAGGAGACTGTATTTTGTACTTGTATTATTGGATTTTAAAAATGTTAATCTTAAGTAAAAATATAGAAGCACAGAAAAACATGTACCATTACATAAAGCAGAAGGAGATAGTTCTAAAGTGTGTGTGGGCTGGGTGCAGTGACTCACACCTGTAATCCCAGCACTTTGGGAGGTTGAAGTGAGTAGACTGCTTGAGCCTAGGAGTTTGGGACCAGCCTGGCCAATATGGTAAAACCCTGCCTCTACTAAAAATACAAAAATTAGCCGGGCGTGGTGGCACATGCCTGTAATCCCAGCTACTCAGAAGGCTGAGGTAAGAGAATCACTTGAATGTGGGATCAGAGGTTGCAGTGAGCCAAGACTGCACCACTGCACTCCAGCCTGGGCAACACAGCAAGACTCTGCCTCAAAAAGAGTAAAAGTGAGTGTGGGTCAGAACAGATTGAGAAGCTAAGAAACGGACACTGGTTTTAACAAGGAGACATTGATAATACTAAGTAATTTTAATATAAAAAGGTAAGATACAAAATCAAGACTGCACAGGATTTCAAGGTAAGTGCCAGACTATGGAAGACGTTTCTTATGTGAAACAAGGTTCAGAATATATCCTGGTGTGGTCACCTCAGTATTCCCAGGAATTGGGACCTTTTGTGAGTGGGAAGCTACGATTTTGGTTAGTAAATAAATATGACCAGTCCTCTACCTCAGTTTTGCCGAAGTGGGATGATAAAGCAGGTTATCATAAATCAACATTTTATATCTTGTTTCAGAGAAGGGAACAGGGCCAACCCCAGGCCAAAAAAAAAAAAAAAAAAAATGACGTTGGTATTGGTGACAGTCTCTACTCCTTTCTGCCATTTTCTCTTACTTTCTAGTCATTCTTGTTCTCCCTTTGGTGCCCACTCCCATATCCTCACTGGGGTACTCCATGGGTACCTTTTTGACTCGTTTAGCTTACCCTTCAACACATGCTTAACACAATGCCCGTTATCTCTTGAGAGCTGACCCCATTTAGGATTAGGAAAAAAACTCCCCAGTTCTACAAGAGATCAGATCTTTCTTGATAGTAGTCTTTAGTTTCCATTTCTACCTCCAGTCAGCTACATTTTTCCACTTGCAGCATGGTTAGATGCCTCCTTAGATTTTCGTGAATATTTTGTATAAAATTCCATTAGGGTACTTACTAGGTACAAGTTGTAAGGTCAGTCATAAAAAAATAACAGAATTTTCTATTTTAGGTTAAGCTGTTAGTATGAGAATGTTTTAATTTTTATACATATAATTCCTTATTTTTCTTCCCAAAGCTTTTTATTTTTAGCTGAATTGCAATGAGATTGCTTTCTATTTTCCAAAACATCAAAGTTGGAAGTTTTCACTGGGAAAATTACAGTAAAACTAGGAGGATATCAATTTAATGAAATCTCTAGATTTAGGAAACATGCCATTTTATTTGTTTTCTCAAGCTTCAACTCGTAAGACAGTGTTCATCATCTCTGAGGCTTCCTTTAGCTTTCCTTCCTGCGCTTTACAGTGTTAGATTACTACTTCTAGCTAACAGTGCTATATATGTTGACTCTTTTTCTATCTTTGGGGATGCTGTTGATTTGATGTTGATTTCTGAATTCACCTGATCTGGCTATTCATTAGAAACAACTATGGAGCTTCTTAAATACTAGAAGTGCCCCTGAATGAGAATAAACTAAATGAGACTTTCCAGAGATTAGGAATCTCTTATATTCACTAATTCTAAATCAGGGGTAGTGGTGTGCACCTGTAATCTAGTTACCTGGGAAGCTGAGGTGGGAGACTAGCTTGATCCTAGGAGTGAAGCTAACTTGGGTAACATGGTAAGGCCCCATCTCTAAATTTAGTATTAAAATATTTTAAATTCTTATAAGTAATTCTAATGCACAGCCAAATATGCGGCAGATCTAAATCACTGCCCTCTATCTGGCCGCCTACCTCAAAGAATTGAACTCAATCCCAACTGTAAGTACTGGTGACCATCTTGGAGAACACTGGCCCACTTCCATTCCAAAGCTAATCCATCTGTGTGTTTTTGGTTTTTTTTGTTTTGTTTTGTTTTGTTTTTTTGAGATGGAGTTTCGCTCGTTACCCAGGCTGGAGTGCAATGGCGCAATCTCGGCTCACCGCAACCTCCGCCTCCTGTGTTTAGGCAATTCTCCTGCCTCAGCCTCCCGAGTAGCTGGGATTACAGGCACGCGCCACCATGCCCAGCTAATTTTTTGTATTTTTAGTAGAGACGGGGTTTCACCATGTTGACCAGGTTGGTCTCGATCTCTCGACCTTGTGATCCACCCACCTCGGCCTCCCAAAGTGCTGGGATTACAGGCTTGAGCCACCGCGCCCGGCGTGTTTTTGTTTTTTACATACAGTGTCCTGCTAGTTTTTCATACATTTGGTAGAGATGGAGTTTTGCCATGTTGCCCAGGCTGTTCTCAAACTCCTGGATTCAAGCAGTCAGTCCTCCCAAAGTGCTGGAATTACAGGCATGAGCCACTGCTCAGCCCCTCCTGTGCTATTGTTGATGCTGTCTCCTTACAACCTTAAGACTGGTAGACCAGTCATTTCCATTGAGGTTGTTTTAACATACTAATATCTCTCCTATTTGTCTAAATACAATTTAATCTCTGGAGTTAAACTTCATTTAAAAACTAGCTTTTAATATTTTGTTACCGCTCATCCACACCATCCATTGCACCAGGTGTTGGCACCCATACTCAGCTGTTCTTAGGTCAACAGAGTATTTTTCAATCTTAGATGTTTTCTTGACTTTTTTTTTTTTTTTTTTTGAGACAGAGTTTCACTCGTTACCCAGGCTGGAGTGCAATGGCGCAATCTCGGCTCACTGCAACCTCCGCCTCCTGGGTTCAGGCAATTCTCCTGCCTCAGCCTCCTGAGTAGCTGGAATTACAGGCACACGCCACCATGCCCAGCTAATTTTTTGTATTTTTAGTAGAGACGGGGTTTCACCATGTTGACCAGGATGGTCTCGATCTCTTGACCTCGTGATCCACCCGCCTCGGCCTCCCAAAGTGCTGGGATTACAGGCTTGAGCCACCGCGCCCGGCCTGTTTTCTTGACTTTTACTGGCTACCTTGTCCCTTGAAATTTTTTTTTCCCACACATGCCTGTAATCCCAGCACTCTGGGAGGCCAAGGCTGGCAGATCACTTAAGGTCAGGAGTTTGAGACCTGACTGGCCAACATGGGGAAACCTGTCTCTACTCAAAATTTAAAAGCCGGGCATGGTGGTGGGTTTCTGCAATCCCAGCTACTCAGGAGGCTGAGACAGGAGAATCACTTGAACCTGGGAGGTGGAGGTTGCAGTAAGCCAAGATGGTGCCATTGCAATGATGCAATCTGAGCACTGTCCAACCTAAGCAACTGAGCAAGACTATCTCAAAAAAAAAAAAAAAAAAAAATTTATTCCCATTACTGGTTTTCTATTTTATTTCTGACCTTGCTGCCCACCAGTCTTTGTTCCCCCATCCTTGACCCACTTCTCTGTGTGGATACTGTTGATATATTTGTAGTTTTGAATGTCACCTTAAAAGCTATGGGTGCTCTCCCCAAAAAAATGTACAACAGGAAGTTTTGCCTATGTTTTTGGATTCACAGACCTCAGTTCTTCTATGGCAGGGTTCATATACATAAGTTCAGTTGTCACATGTTATACAACTCAACTCATGGCTACCAGTATTCTTACTCTGAATTGAACAATCTCTAGAACCATTCACTTGATTCTTAAAAAAAAGTTAAATGCATTTGTCACCTTTGTTTAAAATTTCTAGTGGCTGGTCTGGTCACCAGTTTATTAAATTCCTTAGCATGACCAAGAAGGCTCTTTACTTAAAAATAAAAGCCAGGCATGTGGCTTATGCCTTCCCAGAACTTTGGGAGGCCAAGACAGCAGGATCACTTGAGCCCAGGAATTTGAAACCAGCCTGGGCTAGACAGACTATCTCTCTACTAAAAAAAAAAAAAAATTTAAATAAAGATTCATCATAATCTATTCAAAACTACTGAGTTTTAACCATACATAGTCAATTTTTGGAAACACAAAATGTTTCAAGCCTTTACATTTGCTGTTCATTTTCCGAAGATACCCTTCCCATCAGTATGGACTCCACACCTGGTTATCCTTCAAGACTCAAATATCATCACCTCTGTAGTATCTTCCTTAATCCACCTTCTGATAGTTTGGTGTGCTTATTTCTTATCGTAACATTAATTTGGGGGTATCTTTTAAAATTGCCGAAACTGGAATTAGATGAAACAAAGCCATGTTCAAATTCTTAAATTTTAAAGTGAGTGGCTTAATTGCTTCTGTAAACTGGGGACACCATCTACCATATAGTTATTAGATGTGAATACCAGAGAAAGTACATGTAGAAGGTGCTAGTGCCTGCCACATCGTATGTGCTCAATAAAACTCACTGTTTTATGTGCTTACCTAATAAAAGGCAGAAAAGACCAAACTTTCTCAGTGCCTGGCCCATAGCAAGTGCTATGTTCATGTTTTAAAAAACAAAAGACAGCAAGAAAGACACATAAACCTCTTCAAGAAATAAAGAAATACAAACAAAGTTTCTTCATCATTCTATTTATTATGTATATGAATATTAACATCTCATGGTCTCCATCTAAGCCAAAACCAACAAAAGAAAAAAGTTAACCATATCTCAAGCAAACATTCTTACAGATTCCTCTGTAACTTAAAATAGAAATATGTTCATCTGCATTAAATCATTTGACAATTTGAAAAAATGTCTTTTAAAAAAAAATCACCTTTAGTACTTAAATATATTTGTTAATTGTTTGATGTCATCAGTGTCCAAGTTCAAGAATAAAAGTTGCTTCATTAGATATTTTCAAAAGTGTACATCTGGATGGTTCTCTATAGCTGGAATTGTGTGTGTGTGTGTGTGTGTGTGTGTGTATATATATATATATGCATATATATATATATGTGCAAATATGTCCTATTTTGTCTTTAAATTTTTTTCAAAATCTGGCTTTTCTATGTGAGAAAAGCCCTACGGTGCTCTCTCACAACCCTCTTTTGAAGGATGAAACTTCAAACTGCTTCTTTAATCAATGGGAGGCTTCTAGAAAAAAATTATGTTGAGGTTGCTGTTCAATTCTATTTTTACCCAATAAAAAGTACAGAAACTTTATTTGATGGTGTGCATAAATATTACACTCCATGAATAGCAAAAATATTTTTTATTTATAATTTACAGTTGCACAGTGAAAATCGTACATTTTTACACATACAATTTCATTTTGTTAAATTTGCACACATCTACAGAACTTTCACACAACAAGCACCTGAAACTCTGCAGGCAGTAGGAAATGCAAATACTAAAATGTATTTATTAACCAAATGATAGCTGAAGGCCCTGCCTCAGCTAGACAATTTATATAGATATGTCTATATATACATAAAAAAATTCTTCACCTTCTAGATCCAACAGCAGCTTTTTTAAAAAAGAAAAACATACCTTTCTCATTTTATTTAAACTGACTCGACTGTGTCATTTTCTGTTTTAATTTCAGAGGGTGTTGCTATGCTTTCCTCTGTACAAGCTGGTGGTGTATCTATTCGTTCTTCCTTAACTTTGGGACTTTCACAGGGTTCCTGCAATTCGTTTTTGACAATGTTCAACATAATGTTCAAGGGGTTTTCAACTGGTGTCTTGCTGGGTGATGGTGTACAATCAAATGAAGATGTCTACAAAATGAGAAGCCCTATGAGTACTGATGAAAGTTCAAAATTCTCACATTAAATGACATTTAGTTTTCTAAGACCCTTGTATGGACAAGGGAACACACATACAACAAATGCAACTGAAATACCTGCCTCCGAACAAAATGTGCCATAAAGGCAACAAAAATAAAATATATTGCACATTCAATATGTACTCCGCAGTGAGCTAAGCAGTAACAGCTAAGTTGTCAGACATTATACAGCCAAAAAAAGTTGATTAGACATGCTTCTACATTTTAATTTCTACATAGATGTTATACATATATTCTGGAACTTGTTCCTACCCTAATTTCAAATATTCTGAGGATTTTTTCAATCCCATAAACCATCATCCTGAACACTAGTCTTCTGATAACCTAAATAAATCTTCCAAATTGCCTCCAACCCACTATCTTTAAAAACCTATTTGTTTCATTACTTGGTTTTAAAAACAGACTGCAAGTATGGCCATTTGAACTTTTTTTTTTTTTGAGACGCAGCCTTGCTCTTTTCCCCCAGGCTGCAGTGCAGTGGTACGAACTTGGCTCACTGAAACCTCCACCTTCCTGCAGTGCGGTGGCACGAACTTGGCTCATTGAGACTTGCACCTTCCAGGTGCAAGTGATTCTCCTGCCTCAGCCTCCCAAGTAACTGGGACTACAGGCACCCACCACCATGCCTGGCTAATTTTTGCATTTTTAGCAGAGACGGGGTTTCATCATGTTGGCCAGGCTGGTCTCGAACTCCTGACGTCAGGTGATCCACCAGCCTTAGCCTCCCAAAATGCTGGGATTACAGGTGTGAGCTACCACACCCAGCCAACCATTTGAACTTTTAAGTCCAACAGACTGGTACCTTTTTTGGATTCTATATGTAATCATTAAAAAGTATACCTATTTTGGCCAGGCACAGTGGCTAATGCCTGTAATCCCAGCACTTTGGGAGGCCAAAGCAGGTGGATCACTTGAGGTCAGGAGTTTGAGACCAGCCTGACCAATGTAATGAAACCCTGTCTCTACTAAAAATACAAGATTAGCCGGCTGTGGTGGCGTGCGCTTGTAATCCCAGCTACTTGGGAGGCTGACACAGGAGAATTGCTTGACTCTGGGAGGTGAAGGTTACAATGAGCTGAGAACACACCATTGCACTCCGGCCTGGGCAACAAGAGCGAAACTCTGTCTCAAAACAAAACAACAAAAAAAGTATACATATTTAGATGGCTGAACAGGATTTCAAAAAAAATAGCAGTAAATGCTACCCATAGCTCTAGAAACCTATCCCCATCATGATCCTTATCTTCACTTGTCCTCACATTTCTCTGGGCCTAGTGGCCTAGTAAAAGATAACACGATTCAAGTGAATAAAATGCAAGGAATGATAAATTTCAAAATTTTAGTTGCATATCACAGAAAATGATATATTAATGTACATCAATTCTGTCAATCTAGCACCAATATTTACTGAACAACCTAAATACTGTATCAAAAAACAAAAATAGTTCAGTATATTAAGTTTAAAATAACAATACTGCTTTGATGCAAAAAAAAACCTGAAAAGTTAAATTTATTCATTTAAATGAGAATATAGTAACCAAAAAGAACTTACATTTTGATAATCTTCATAACATGATGGATGATAAATCTGAAGCAAAAAGAAAAAAAATAAATATGTGCATATTCGTTTCTAATGGAATATTCTCATATGATTTTTCTTTTTAACTTTAAACCAAAAGGTAGTCTTTGGAAAGATGACAAAAACTGTTTGGTCATGAAAATGAATAAAACCAAAATTTTCATCCTTATACTTACAAGAGTCTGAAAAAACTGACTTCTCTTGGCCCATTTAAGTATCTAGCCTAACTTGGTTTGTTTTCAGCACAGTACAGTTTGACGATGAAATATAAATCCACAATCAAAATAGTGTGGGTGAACAGAAAAGATTCAGAAGACCTAGTCCTGGCTCTGTCACTGACTAATAAGGCAACCTCCTTTGTAAAGTAAGTACAGAACCAGATGACTGCTAAGATCCCTTCTAACTCAAACTTTCTAAGTCTAATACCTTTTTTATTAAAACCAAAAATCAAACAAAAACTATTACGAACCTCCTCCTTTCAAAGTAATGAGTTAAGCCAACGACAAAATACTTAACACTTTCTTATAAAGAAATGAAAATTACCTTTCCATCTACTCTAATAGCATTTTTCAAATGCCATTCCTCCTCTTCTTCATCCCAGTACTGTTCAAATTGTTCTTGACAGATTTCACAACTCTAAAATAAAATCATATAAAATGAAATTTACATAATAGAACACATTTAACCCCATTTAAGTAAAAATATACAAATATTTTATTAAGTGGAGTAAGGAATTTATGAGTGTTTCAAAAGTCTGAATAATGTCCAAAACATAATATGATTCAAAATATATTTACAGGATTCTGTCAATCTTTCCAGCATAAAGAGTAAACATTTCACTGCTTTTGGCCACTGTAGTTATGAAACGCAAAGCTAGATTGTAAAACTGAAAAGTAGTAGCGCTTCCAAGAAGTCTTAAAATCATTAAATCAGGGATATAAATATAGTGGTATGTTTATGAGTATTTACTTAAAGAAAGTTAGGGACACTCCTATTGGGAGAAAATTTAAACATTCGCTCACCTCAACTGCTCCAGCTGGTCCAGCAGGTACACTTTGGAACTCTTTTTCTTTAGCAGCCTCTTGAGTTTTGAGTACAACTTCCTCATGAACCTTTTCAAAAAACTGGCTCTTTGCCCGTTCTTCCAGATCAGCTATCTCCTCAAATTCTATCCAGTCCTTAAAAGGAGTTGATTTTTAAAAGTTATTCCATTTATTTCGAAATTTTTACTGCATATCTTCAATATAATGCCATCCAAAGGTAGGGGTACATATATTCTTTTCTACATTATGTTCTAATATTATTTAAAATTATACTTTGAGACTTTTAACTAATAAACAACATATGGCAACTAATAATTAAGATTTAAATTTTTCATTAACTCTATAGTTACAACTACTAATTCAAAAAAGATAAGCTTCAAGTATAATTTTTTACAAAAAACAGTCATGGAGCCTTGGAATTTTAGAGCTAGAACAATCCTGTATGCTATATTCTAATCTCATCAAAATTCATTTCTTTAAAAAACCTGTTTATATTCTAGAGGTCAAATTTTATTGAGTAAATTTACATGTTAGATTCTAGCAATTATTAAAATTATTAAAATCGATATACTTTTAGAATATTATTTAAGCCTAAAATAATATGTATGGAGGCACATGGGTTACTTACTGTTAAACTGTAGTACCAACGTCTATGAGTGACTTTTCTGCTAACATCCTTTTCAGTTCTATTTTGCCGATAATGCCAGTCCAAATGATCTGCATATACATCTGTCTGTGATGTCGTAAACCTCATTCCACAAGAGTAACACTGAATACCAGTGTACAGTCGATTTATAACACTATCATAACGTCTATTTTGAAAAAGAAATAATCTTTAGTGTTGATAACATGGCTTGATGGCCTTCAAAAGCCAATTACAAGTATCTCAGTTTTCCATATTACAATGGTGAAACCAAGGGCTGGCTCAAACAGTTAACACCCAAAGATCAATATTATTTGCTAACAAAGTCATTGACCCTCTTTACCTTAACTTTGGTGAGTTTTGGAACATGGAGCCTGTCTTCTTATGGATAGCCCTGACCCAGTTATTTATTTCCATTTAGCTAAAAACGAAATGATCCTGTGCCAGCTAACAAGGCAACAGGTAGCTTATTCTAGTTGGGAGCAAAGTCAATGTGGACATGGCAGAACAGTTAAATCTCACCTCTCTAGATGTTTGGCATTCTGAATAATTAAACTTCTCCATTCTGGTGTAACAGTGAAAAAAGTACAGAAGAAATAATAATAGTGTGGATAACTAAAGAGAAAACTTAGAAGAACACTGGGAAACAATAATCAGTTTTGCTGTGGTCAGCAAATAGTTTTTAAAATTCTGGACTCTCTATTTGGGAAGAAACAGGTATATACAGAAGACCAAAAAAGTGAACAGAGCAGTTATTAACTCCAAGAAAAAAAAATTGTAGAATAAAGCAAAGAACAGAACACGGTGCTTTATTATGGCAAACAAAATAAACATTTAGTCACAATATTAATACTGAATAATAACGAAAAATAGTCCTATAACTACATAGAGGGAAGTTGGTAGAACAGTACAAGAGCTAGCTAAATCCAACCCCCTCAACCCGGTTTTTTCTGCTCTGTTGCCCAGGCTGGAGTGCAGTGGCCTTATCGGTCACTGAAGCCTCTGCTTCCAGGGTTCAAGCAATTCTCCCCGCCTCAGCCTCCCAAGTAGCTAGTTTTACAGGTGCCTACTGCCACACCCAGCTAATTTCTGTATTTTTAGTAGAGATGGGGTTTCACCATGCTGGCCAAACTCCTGACCTCAGGTGATCTGCCCACCTCAGCCTTCCAAAGTGCTGAGATTACAGGTGTGAGTCACTACACCTGGCCTAAATCACTTTTAGAAAGAGATTATGTCCAGATGTGATAAATCAAGAAATAGAAAAATATGTATATTACAAGAAATAGGCCAGGTACAGTGGCTCATGCCTGTAATCACAGCACTTTAGGCTGAAGCGGGCAGATCACTTGAGCCCAGGAGCTCGAGAACAGCCTGGTCAACATGATGAAAATCCATCTCTACTAAAAACACAAAAATTAGCTGGGTGTGGTGATGGGTGCCTATAATATTAGCTACTCAGGAGAATCGCTTGAACCTGGGAGGTGGAGGTTGCAATGAGCCAAGACCGTGCCATTCCACTCCAGCGTGGGCAACAGCACAAGACTCCATCTCAAAAAGAGAGAAAGAAAGAGGTAAATGCCAAAAAAAAATAGTTTGAAAAGTTTAAAAAAAAATAAATAAAAGATTGCCTCTAGGATACAGTGTTGGGTGAAGGAAAAAGGAATGCCATCATTTATTACAAGCCTTTAACTATGTGAAAATATTACTTTGAAAAAAATAATGATTTTATAGTATCTAATTCAAATTTTTAAAAAATGATTTTAAAAGAGTGTAAAACTCATTAGCTGTTTTATTTTTTAATAAAGTACTCACAGGATTAATGAATCAATTTGCTAGAAAAAGCTTTAAATGTTTTTAAGTAATACAATAGAAAATCATGAAAAGCTATGCACCAAATGTTAATAGTTGTTATCCATAAAGTGAGAGTTGTACGTTTTCTTGATTTTATTTACGGTATAAGTTTCCACAATTAACATTACTTATAAAATGAAAAATAGATTTTTTTTTAAATTGTAAAGGCTGGACTATAAAAATCTCATTTCTGAATCTCAAAAATCTAAGATATCGATATAGAAATAATGATGATAAACAGAAAATGAAAACTAAGCAGGAACACATGAATTATCTATACCTAGTGTTTAAATTCGCTAAGTTTTCTGTATCACAGATTAAAAAATGAAAATTTTGAGGGGCCGGGCATTGTGGCTCCTACCTGTAATCCCAGCACTTTGGGAGGCCAAGGCAGGTGGATCACTTGAGGTTAGGAGTTCAAGACCAGCCTGGCAAAGGTGAAACCCTGTCTCTACTAAAAATACAAAAATTAGCCAGGTGTGGTGGTAGAGTGCCTGTAATCCCAGGATAATCACTGGAACCTGGGAGGCAGAGGTTGCAGTGAGTCAAGATCACAGCATTAAACTCCAGCCTGGGTGACAGAGTGAGACTTTTAGGGGTGGCCTTTGGCCTAAGTACATATACAGCAAACATACTTTAAAAGAAGATTTAAAAATAGGCTTCCTAAAGACGATGTTATAAATATTTTACATTAAAAAAATTTTTTTTAAGGTTTCCTAAATGTTACAATGGTAAAAGGAATAAAATAAAAGGGAAAGGTAAAGCACTAATAGTAACAATGTCCACTGTTATTAGAGTCACTGCCTTTTTATTTTAAAGAAAATTAGATTACATACTGTTTCAATTCTTCAACTGTAAAATTAGTAAGATCTGGAACATCTTGATCTTCATTTTGTTCTTCCTCCTCTTCAAGGGGAGGCTGAGCAGCTACTTCACTTACTTCTAAAATTAAGAAGAAATACAAATTTCTTAATACCATTTTCCATGTATTCTTTAAAGTATTTTAAGTATTTATAGTATTATAAGTAAGTAGAGAAATACACCTAGTCTATTCAGTGCTTCTGATCTCAAGTTTACTGGACAAGGAACCTAATACAATTTTTTATTTTGGTATGTGATGTTAACCCTGATCTCTTAAAAGTCATCTATAATAAAAGTCATTTATTCATCAATATTCCAATTCTTTTCAAAAGTTAAATTAATATAAAATTACTGGTAAAAGCCTGCACATTAGATATGCTAACTGAAACACATGTCTGCTATAAGGTAGTTCATTCTTAGGAAATCTAAAATAATTTCATTACAAAACAACTGTATTTGATTTTCAAAAATCGAAAATAAAAGTTATACCTAGGAATTCAATTACTGTAAGGACCTTTATCATAACTTATATCATTAGATCATACATCTCAAAAATTTAATGAAGCTTTGTGTACATTAAGTGTAAAATCACACTTACGTGTTGTAGCTGAATCAGGTTGAGACAATTTGAGAATTCCTGTTTTCAGCAATTTTGAAAATAATTCATTTACATCCACCTGACTGAGATGATTATCAGGATATGCCTTAGGGAGGGCTCCTAAAAAAAAAAAAAAAAAAGAAGGAACTTCTCTTAAAGTGAATGTAGAACTTAAAGATGCAAATTATACTAAGGATTTTCCAAAAAGTTTTCTTCAAGATGTCCTGTCAACAGTAAATCTGACAAAGTCTTATTAATGATGGGTTTAATTATTTCAAAAGCCCCTAAGATTATCTTTTCATTTAGGTCAACAGACTTGAGAATATATTATAAAACAAACACAAAGAACACTAAAAACAATGACCCTTTATGCTCCCTCCTCCCATGCAATGCAGCACCACCCCTATCTCCAACTTTCCACCTTTCTAATTCTAATTCTTTTCTCCATCTTCTAAGTACATTGGAAAAGGTAGTTTTATATAGATAAAATAAGTGTATCACCTCTTAGCACTAAGCCTAACTGGAAGTACTCCTGACCTCAAAGCTCCCTGACATAACAGAAGAACTGAAACAGGGAGATGAATCAGATAACTCAGAGTATACCTGCTCCTATGACCTTTGCTAAATAGTATATTGTCCTTGCAAAGCAGCTCAGTCTATTGCTGAAAAGGTATCACAGTTACCAACAATTCAATAACTTGAACAAATAAAATAAGCCTAACAATTTTGTTTTGCTTGATGAGGAATCCTCATTGGTGAGGAATCATTCCAGTCCCATATTTTTCCAGGCACTATTCTAAACAGTGTGATTCTTTTTTTTTTTTGAGACAGAATCTCGATCTGTCACCAGGTGCCTGGCTAAAGTGCAGTGGCACGATCTCGGCTCACTGCTACCTCCGCCTCCAGGGTTCAAGCAAATCTCCTGCCTCAGCCTGCCAAGTAGCTGGGACTACAGGCGAGCGCCACCATGCCCAGCTAATTTTTATATTTTTTTAGTAGAGATGGTGTTTCACCATGTTGGCCAGGATGGTCTCGATCTCTTGACCTTGTGATCTGCCCCAACTATGAAAACAGTATTTTACACCAGGTGCAGTGGCTCATGCCTGTAATCCCAGCACTTTGGGAGGCCAAAACAGATGAATCACCTGAGGTCAGGAGTTTGAGACCAGCCTGGCCAACATGGTGAAACTCTGTCTCTAATAAAAATACAAAAACTAGCTGAGTGTGGTGGCCCATGTCTGAAATCCCAGCTACTCAAGAGGCTGAAGCACAAGAATTGTTAGAAACCAGGAGGCGAAGATTGCAGTGAGCCAAGATCACCCCGCTGCACTCCAGCCTGGACAACACAGCAAGACCCTGTCTCAAAAAAAAAAAGAAAACAGTATTTTAATGTATTTGTATGTCATTATGATACATCTCACTCACTACACCTACACAGAAAAGTTCTGAACCACTAAAAATTCCTCTTAATGGCAGAAATTCAATTTGCATCCACAGTTTACATAATCCCTACCCTTTACCACTGTGTATTCTAATTTTATCAAACTGCCTTATACAGAGTAGGCTAATTAATGTCTGTTCAAACTAAATGTCTGAATACATGAATGAATAAATCAACTTCAACAGTTAATCAATTACAATAACATTTAACTCACTAGTTTTAATCTTTACTTTCCATTAAATTAGCTATTTATATGTCTAAGATGCATAATTAGCGATTCTCATGTCTGAGGGTAGCCAAGTTTAACAACAAAGAGCATAAACTGCAAGACCAGACTCCTGGGATTTTTAGCCAGAAATTCCACTTTCTAGTTGTATAACATAATCAAGTTCCTTATCTGCCTGAGTTTCCTGTGCCGGTACAAAGGTTAATAATAATTCCTACCTAAGATTGTTATGAGGTTAAATGAATTAGTATTTGTAAGGAACTGAAGGGCTTGGCATTATTATGTAGTTTTTGTTAAACCACACACACACACACACACAAATCAATAGCCTTTCTGTATTATAAAGCTCTTTGAGGCCAGGTGCGGTGGCTCCTGCCTATAAACCCAACACTTTGGAAGGCTGGGGACTGCTTGAGCTCAGGACTTTGAGATCAGCCTGAGCTGCACAGTGAGCACCCTATCTCTTTAAAAATAAAAATAAAGATCTTTGAAGGATAAACCTTACTAAATTCATCGTAGCATAATGCCTAGCATACAGCAGATGACTAATATATATTTGAATGAATAAATGAACATGGGTATATTTCCTACTAGAAAAGGGATGTTTATACTTTCAAATTAGAGAAGGAACCTTGAGAGAAGCTAAATACAGCGCACTGAAAACTGTTGACACCTCTTGTAAACAATAAGAACTTGAAGAACAAAGACATAATTAATGTCGCATTCAATATCCCCAAACCCAGAGAAAAACTGTGACTTCCTCTGTGACACTACTATAACCTATAAACATATACAAATAACCCAAGGTTGTAAAAGCACAAAGAGGCTGGACATAGGGGTTCACAGCTATAATCCCAGCACTTTGGGAAGCCAAGGCAGATGGATCACCTAAGGTGACCAGCCTGATCAATATGGTGAAACTGTCTCCACTAAAAACACAAAAATTGGCTGCGTGTGGGGCATGCACCTGTAGTCTCAGCTACTCAGGAGGCTGAGACAGGAGACTTGCTCAAACCTGGGAGGCGGAGGCTGCAGTGAGCTGAGATCACACCACTGCGAGACTCCATTTCAAAAAAAAAAAAGGCAAAAAGAAAATTTGTAGTTTCTGATAGCATCTCATGCCACTAACCGCAATATAACAAATCCTCAGCCGGGCGCGGTGGCTCAAGTCTGTAATCCCAGCACTTTGGGAGGCTGAGGCGGGTGGATCACGAGGTGGAGAGATCGAGACCATCCTGGTCAACATGGTGAAACCCCGTCTCTACTAAAAATACAAAAAATTAGCTGGGCATAGTGGCGCCTGCCTGTAATCCCAGCTACTCAGGAGGCTGAGGCAGGAGAATTGCTTGAACCCAGGAGGCGGAGGTTGCGGTGAGCCGAGATCGCGCCATTGCACTCCAGCCTGGGTAACAAGAGCGAAACTCTGTCTTAAAAAAAAAAAAAAAAAAAAAAAAAAAATCCCAGGCAAATACTAATACTACCATATGCTATTTATAGAGGGAAAAACTGAACCTCAGGAAGGATACCTGCTTAAGGCCTGCCCATTTACAGAGTAACTAAGTGTAGAATCCAAGCCTGGTCTTCTGGGCTTTAGATCTTAATTTCCTTCTCTTTTCATTATAGTAACAAAATAATAAGAAGAAATATAAATTAATCCTAACTGTCCATCTAGAAATTAAAAGTTGAAAGGTTCCAAATTAATTGAATTTCTTGATACAATTTAAGGACTAATATATTAAAAAAGATCCTGGCTAGGACTTCCTAATTACTTCAGAAGTTTTGGAAAACTCCCTAAATTTATTGTAAACTGATTTTGTTGTAAACTGATTTTTTGATGTAAACAATGCTACATTAAAGCACATTTCTGAAAGAGCTGTTTAAATGATTCAGAAATGAAAGCAAGTATCACTAATGTATATAATTCCACTTATCACATATTAAACCTAAAATTCATTTTGCAGGCACAGTGGCTCACACCTGAATTCTCAGCACTTTGGGAGGATGAGACAGGCAGATCACATGAGGTCAGGAGTCTAAGACCAGCTTGGCCATGGTAAAACCCCAGCTCTACTAAAAATACAGAAGTTGGCCAGGTCTGGTGGCGCATGCCTGTAGTAACAGCTACTCAAGGGGCTGAAACAAGAGAATCGCTTGAACCCAGGAGGCAGAGGTTGCAGTCAGCCAAGATTGCGCCACTGCCCTCCAGCCTGGGCAAAAGAGCAAGACTCTGTCTCATAAATAAATAAAACTAAAATTCATTTTAAAAGTCCTTTTATCTACTATTAATTAAGCCTCACCCCGTAGTAACAAAGATGTTTATCAGTGAATCTGGCTAAGAAAGCCACTTTTTGCTATTTTAGTGCCCATAAAAGCATAAAAATTAATCGACTTTATTAATGCAGTATCCTCAGTATTCACTTAATAAATGTTTAATGGATCATAACACACACTACTCAAAACATCAAATAATTGAGATTTCTGAGGTTCATCATTTATTTCATTCTACCTCAACACAAATGTCGTATCTGCCCTCCCACCTTCCAGTTTCCACCAATAGGTTTCCTTCCATTTGTTTTGCACACTGTAAGTTCAGGCTAACCATCACTAGCTGTACATAAGGTCAATGTGAATATACATCTACAATGTAAATAAACTTAGAAAAGAAACAAAAATATATCAGCCAGATTAAATTTCTCTAAATTAAATAAACCTTTGTAAAGCTGTCATTTCCTAAAATTGACAAAGTTAGCTATTTAACAAAATAATAATCATTTGTCTTTTGAAAAATAAAGTTCAGAAAGTACATACCTGAAGGATTCTGAACAAATCCAGGATTTTGTGGATGAACTGGTAAAAACTGTTGTCCTTGACCAAAAGCTACCGGCTGAGCAACACCACTTAGAACCTTTAAGATAAACCTTAATTTTAAGAACATACTTTCTATATTTCAAGTAAAACTTTTAACATCCTAATTACATAAAAATATTCACAGATGTCACAAGGCCTGGCTTATAAATAAGAATTGAGAAAGGTAACCTGGCTGGGTCACTTCACTTCTAGTTCTTCTACAAACAGCAACAGTAAAACCTTCCCTTATCTGTTTCACAGAGGTGTAAGTTACCAAGAATGGGTTAAAACTTCTTTTAAAAGTTTGAGATACCTACTAAAGAAGCAAAGTAGCCCCCCCAAAAAAGGAAAATGTAAGATACCATGCAAACATAAGGTAACTAACTAGCTGTGTTACTTTACACAAGTCACTTTACCTTGCTGGTGCTTTCCCTTATTTTACAAATAGAAGAACTGTCAAAACAATATAACCTATACACAATCACAAGGGCTAGTTAGCAGCAAAACTGAGGCCAGAACTCCTAACCTTGGCCCCTTTTCCAGATAGCCTGTTTTAATTAGCAGTCTGGATTATCAAGCAGGTAAGCATCCTGCTTAGCCATCATCTTTGCATATGGTTATAGCTACATTACAAAGTAATCTTGCAAAAGATGACCTCTTGTAAAAGATGACCTCTTGTAAAAGATGTCAAAGGGGCTGGGCATGGTGGCTCACGCCTGTAATCCCAGCACTTTGGGAGGCCGAGGCGGGTGGATTACAAGGTCAAGAGATTGAGACCATCCGGGTCAACATGGTGAAACCCTGTCTCTACTAAAAATACAAAAAATTAGCTGGGCACGGTGGCACGTGCCTGTAGTCCCAGCTACTCGGGAGGCTGAGGCAGGAGAACTGCCTGAACCCAGGAAGTGGAGGTTGCGGTGAGCCGAGATCGCACCATTGCACTCCAGCCTGGGTAACAAGAGCAAAACTCCGTCTCGGCGGGGAGAGGGGGAAGATGTCAAAGGGAATGTTAAAAAATAGAACAGTCATGAAGCAAGAACTGTACTCGCATACATATATAGTTTTCTGTAGTCCAGAGGAAGGCAAGACTTCTACATGTTGCTGGTATGTAAATAAATATCCATTTATAATCCTTGTTCAATATACATGTGGAATTTTGATGGTCAGTACACATAATAAAAACTCCACCCATTCTGTATAATGTAAAAATAAGACTAAATAGTGCCATTCTAGAGTATCAGTCAATAACAGTAACATTTCTTTCAAGGATATACAGTAGAGTAAATCTAGGCAGGCCAACTGTTTTTTCACACCATTAGAGATGAACAGAAGGACTACTTTCTATCAATAATGTTACTAATGTGCTTTTAAAATCTTTCTTATTTTGTATTTTCTTCCATACAATCTTACTACTATAAAATAAATCTGTCCTAGTAAGAAAATGTCAGCACCTGGAAAAGAAGTAAGTTCAGCACAGGAGAATTTCAGCATGCAAGCAAAAGAAGTCATTAATAACCAACCGAATTAATCATAAATTCTAAACACAGTGCCTTAAAGTTACTTCGGTATGCATTTTAAAATGTATACAGAACAACTGTGAAAGAATATCAACTGTGCATGTTTTGCAACTAGAGTGTATTTGGAAGGCTGTTTGCTACTAAGTTTGCTGTGTTGACATTAATATCAAACAACTGTGTTTAACGGGACAGGTGGTGAAAAAAAAAGTAGGAAAAGAGGTTAAAAAAAGAATTGTAGACTGTAAAAGCATGAACAATTTGATCTTCTTATTTAACTAAGGCTAAGGAAAATTGGTCAAAGAATAGTCCAAGCAATCAGTTCTATGGCTAACTTAAAGCATATCAGGGCTCAACAGTTCTATAATGAAGAGTTCTATGAAATCCAATTGTTTAATATTTCAAAAGCTTTAAAGTTTAAAAAAAAAAAAAAAAAAGATTCCAGGGGTGGGATTTGACTGAGATATATCCCTAGATCCTAGAAGAGCCAAAATCAGTTTTGGATTTAAGTTGCAAATTTCATTCCTGTAAGACGCTTATTCCACTTCCCTAGTATGTGGCTTTAGGGTACATTAAAAACTTCTTTCCAATCTATACAATAAACTATGTACTGAAAACCTTCCTTAAACCCTAGAAACATTGAAAATGGTTAACCTATCTGCATACAACACAATTTTAGAATAACAGACTTACCTGTTGAGATGCCTGAATATTTCCTACTGCCATTGGAGCAGGTAAATTGCCAAAGTTTCCAAATTGAGAACTCTGAAGATTTTTTTCATCAAAATAGTGTCCAGAAGCTCTGTTAAGTGGATTAGAGAAACTCTGGTTTCCAGGGCCATGTGGTCCATTAAAATTTGGTCCTTGAGGTGAATCAAATATTTGTTCATGTCTTTGGAACTGTAGTCCTTGGGATGGGGCATTAAAAGCGTTGCCAGGTGGATCACTATATGGCCCAGTCTGATTGAAAGATACTGATTCAAGCCTTTGTGAAGGATGATTGTCAAATCTTGTGCCTTGAAGACCAAGAGGAATATCAAACCTTGATGCCTGTTGATGTTGTGGACCATCAAATCTTTGAGGTACACCATCAAATCTTGGCTGAACCTGCTGTCCAGGTGGTCCATCAAACCTCTGAGGGCCTGGCTGGCCAGGAGTCCTTTCAAATCTAGGACCTGGCTGACCATGTAATCCATCAAATCTTGGCAAGAGTGATGGCTGACCTGGCTGCCCATCAAACCTTAAAGCATGACAACCTTCAAATCTTGGACCACCTTGACCCAGAGGCCCTTCAATTCGCAGGCCACCTCCTGGTACAGGACCCTCAAACCTCATTCCACCTCCTTGTTGGACTAAAGGGCCTTCAAACCTGATCCCAACCCCTGGTTGACCATGTGGACCCTCAAACCTAAGGTTCCCACCAAGTTGATTATGTTGTCCCTCAAATCTCAGACCAGATACTGACTGACCATGGGGGCCCTCAAACCTCATTCCAACTCCTTGCTGTAGCAAAGGGCCCTCAAACCTGATCCCACCACCAGGCTGACCATGAGGTCCATCAAACCTAATCGCAGTCCCTGATGGACCATGACCCCCTTCAAATCTAAGTCCACCTACAGGCTGACCTCGGGGATTATCAAATCTAAGTCCACCCACAGGCTGACCATGAGGTCCCTCAAACCTCAGACCACCCACAGGTTGACCACGATGTCCCTCAAACCTCAGACCACCCACAGGCTGGCCCCCTGGTCCCTCAAATCGCAAACCACCTGCAGATCCTTCAAACCTCAGACTAGGGGAACCTTCAAACCGAAAACCACCTCCTCCTGCTTGACCAATTGGGCCCTCAAATCGCAGAGGTGTCCCCACTGGTCCTGGAGGACCTTCAAATCTCAAAGGACACCCACCTCCTAGCTGACCTTGTGGCCCTTCAAATCTTAAAGGGCCTCCTCCCCCCATTTGTCCTGGTGACCCATCAAACCGAAGAGAAGCTGGTGTAGGAGGTCCATCAATTCGAGGGCTTAATTTATTAGGTCCTTCAAAAATCATCTTGGTTGGGCCATCTCTTGTTACTGATGGCCTACTAGGTCCATCAAATAACGGTCTGTCTTCAGCTAAAGCTGTAAGTCGCTGATTTGTATCCAGGCCGGCAAATCTTGATGCTGGGCTATCTACAAATGGTTTATCTGAATCTTCATATCGAGGTCGCTTGAGTGGAAAACGATCATTGAATGGCGATCTCTGCTCTTCTCGCACACCTTTTAAAAAGGAAAAAAATTATTTTCACTAAATCTAAAGTTATCTTAAAGTCTTCTACTTTCATATAAATGTTTATCCAAAGATATAACTATCTCACTATATTAGAGGGGCAGGAAGACAGACAGCATCAAGCAGCAGATAAGAGGATGCCCTCTAGAGTCAGACACACCTGAGTAACAAAAAAATTCCCATCCTATCAACAGACTAATTTCATTTTGAGTGCAAGTTATTTAACCTCTCTGTTTTATTTCCTATCTATAAAATGGGGAGAATATACATTTCATCGTGTTGTTGTGAGGATTAAATCAAATTACATATAAAAAGAACCTAATGAAGTACCTGACACACAACTGGCCTTAGAAATGTTAGCTCCCTTCCCTTCCCTTTCCTTAACGGGAAAAAACATACAAAATCAATGGGGAAAAAAAATGGTAATTTGAACAGTCACAAAAATCCATCCCCACTTAGCTTGTTCATTTTCCCTTCACTGCTGTGTGATTCAATAGGCATAATCTGATTTAACTTTTTCTACCTTTAGCAGAGACTTGCTCGTCATGTCTTCTCCGGCCCTCATGGGGTGAAAGATTCTCAGCATAAGTACGACTCCCAGATATAGGAGAAAGACGTCTTGCTCTTTCACTAAATTGTTCTTTTCTGTCAAACTGTGCTCCACTATTCCTACTTGCATGTTTACTTTTGGATGGCTCACATTCTATTCCAGACAACAAGGCATCAGTCAAAGGGTAGTCAAAAATATCAGGATCTAAGAGATCAAGTCTTGGAAATGAATGCTGAACCTGTGTCCTTTTCAGTTTTGCTTTATGTTCATAGTAGGTTAATTCAGCATCAGTTAAGAGAGGTTTCTTTTTTAATCCACCTTTATTTTCTTCTGTAGGACTATCCCGTACATTGCATCTATGTTTACCTTCTTGATACTGAAATAGCTGTCGAATTTGATGTACAACAACAAGGAAGTCATCCTGTGTAATTTCACCAGATGCTAAACGTTCACTCGTCTGCACAGGGGTGATAAAAGGAAATAAAATATTTTAAATATAAAAAGTACTTACCAAAAAAATTCGACAAAAGAGAATAATGACTACATGGGATTAATCATAGTAACTACCTTTTGAAGTAATTCTCTTTTGCTTGCAAGAGTTAACTCTTTAGGAATCTGAAGATTGGCATCTACACTTAATCGATGCTGCTGCTGCTTTGGGGCTCGAGGTGATAAAATTCCTTTAGTGCTTGACCAGCTCTCCCTATGCCTTAGATGAGGAGGTTTACTATGTTCATCAACCTGTTGTAAGCTGAAACCATAAAAGCAATATATTACTTTTAAATGTTTTTTTAAAAAATATTCAGGACCATATTTAAAGATCCTTTTCAAAGGATATGGTTAAAATAGATATATATAATCACAAAAAGTAACTAAACAAATGATTGAGAGCGCAAAATATGAAATCAGCAAAAACAGATAGGAATTCTGATTCTTGCATGACTTGAATGCAACCTTAGGGAGATTAGTTAACCTTTCTAAACTTCAGTTTCCTTATCTGTAAAATAGAAATACTAGTATTTAACCCAGAGAGATGTAAGAATTAGATGAAAAAAAAAAGTACTAATAGCACCCAAAAAAGCATTTTCCAATTTTTAAATTAACATTACCTTTTGAAACATACACACTATTACACTTGAACCAAAATGTTATCATCATACCTTTTATTTTCTTCCCAACCAGATTTCCATCTTTTGGCAGACTTGGAACTTTGCCAGTTTTCTATATTCTCCTTTGGTTCAGTGCCTGACTTTGTAGAATGCTGATTTGTGATTTCTTGTGGTCGCTCCTCTTCACTCTTTTTCATTCGCCTTGGATCCCGAATATCCTGCTTAGTACTTCTCTTAGCATTTCTGTCTTCTCTAGAAGATGGTGTAAACTCTTCTATATGTGACTGCTTAACTCCGGATTGGCGAATCTTTCCAGCTTTAGGTGTAGATGTTGGAGACATACTCCTTTGCCTTCGTTTGGGTGATCGTCTATCTCTTCTCTTTGGGGAATGTATAATTGGTGACCTAGACTTGGGTGATCGAGATCTTGATCGCTTTCTAGTACTCGATCTCCCTGGTTTTGTCCCCTGTTTTTCTGACTCTTCTGTTATTGTATCCTGTTTTTGTACAATGCCATTTATGATTTTATTTCTACTTCCAGGCAATCTGTGTTCAGATGACTTCATGTGCTCATCTTTATCCTTTTTTTCTGCAGCTTTTCTCTTCTCTTTCACATCATCATCTTTGCCATCAGTCTTATCCTGAAGATGCTTTTTTAGTCTTGGATCTCTCTTATTCATATCAGACAACCTCATACTCTCCGATTCTTGATTTTTCAAGTCTTTTGTGTGAGATAATTTGTTTTTCAAAGGTGACGGCGATTTTGATTTTGATTTTGATTTAGAATCTAATTGGTCAAGTTCTTTCTTGGTTATTTTTTCACTTGATTTACTTTTTTCCTGCTTGGATGAATTTAGTTTTTCAGAGGGTATAGTTTTACTTGTCTTAATATCAGACTGGTTTAATGTGTTCATTAAAAATTCTTTCCTGTGACTTTGATCTTTTCCATGAGAATGTTGGCTTATCCTGTTCAGACGAGGATCCCGGTTAGTTCCTTTCAAATCCTGAATTTGTAAGGATGGTCCTGGACGGCTTTTCTCAGACTGCACAGGAACCTGATGAGGAGCTTTAACTGCCATAGGGGGAATCTGTGAAACATGTAATTTGGATGGTGCAGATCCAGGACCTAAACTGGATGTTTCTTGCTGAACACTAAGAGAAACTGCCTGAAATACAAAATAAATGTTCATGTCAATACTGTAAAATACTCAGATTATTTGTCAAGAAACTGCAAATAACTGTATCCTTTATTCAATATATTTATTCAATACTATATTTACACTGCCAACTTTTTCATCTTTTTTTTTTATTTTACACTGTAAACTTCTAATGCATAAATTGAGATTACAAGAAAAGAAAAACTCCACGATTTAAATGACCCATTATTTGTCCTTTTTGAGATTTTGTAATATAATCTGTAAACAGAATTTTAAAAATTGTTTCTCTCACTAATTATTCAAGATTCTGAGCCAGACTGCTCCTAACAAATTGTTAAATCACTATACTCTAGCTGCACAAGAATCAGTCATTTTAGCTGCATTCTAAGTCCTAAAATTTAGTTTCTCCCAAAGTGGTACTGTTAATGAACTTATAAAATTCTGCCTTACTATACCTCACTGTGGAATAAGCTCAGATGCTAAGTAAAATAACTTAGTATAAAGTCATTCATTCACAGAAATCTATAATCTTCCTGGCCTCCTTAATTTTGTCACTGCTGCTCATGAAGCATAAGCTCATAAAACATTAAAGACTATGCAAAAATATCTGCCTCAACACATCTACCATCTTGGGACTGAAATATTAAGTCCATATAAGGTAATGATTAAACAAAACTAAGATGCTACTTTATAAGATAGCAATCTAACAGTAAACTATTTGGATGAAATAGTGTAGTTTTTTGGTTTCTTGGGGGTTTTCTTGAGACAGGGTCTTGCTCTGTCACTTATGCTAGAGTGCAGTGAAACAATCATAGCTCACTTCTGCCTCAATCTGTCGGGTTCAAGTGATCCTCCCAACTCAGCCTCTCAAGTAGCTGGGACCACAAGCATGCACTACCACGCCTGGCTAATTTTTTTTTTTTTTGTAGGGCCTGCCTATGTTCACCAGGTTGGCCTCAAACTCCTGAACTCAAACAATCCTCCCATCTCAGACTTCCAAAGTGCTGAAATTACAGGCATGATCTACCACACCTGGCCTATGCAGTTTTTAATCAAGTGAATTTTACAATAAGGATATAAAAATACAGTCTAATAAGTATACTGTAATTTGTAAAATAAAAGTAGAAAAGAGTATACTATTTAAAAAAGTAACATGTTAATAAAATTCAAATATAAACATTACTTCCCTATTTTAAGACAGGTTTAAAATATTTAAAATGTCAATCTCCCTTACTTACCAGTTGTGCCTTAGCTTGCTCTAGCTCAAGCTCCAGCTTTTTCTGCTGAAGTTCTAACAACTGTTTTTGTTTTGCCAGCAACTGCTGCCTTATCAGTTGTTCTTGTGTAAGATTCTTTTGTATATCAGGAACAATTGGAGGAGTGGAGATGCTAGGGGAACTGACCACCGTACCAGGTGCTGAAGGCTCCTCAGGCTATAAGAAAAAATAATTTGTTTAAGAAAAATACATCAGCTAAAGGAAGCAAGGGAGTAAATGAAAATTATCAGCTTCACTCATTATTATCCAAATTCCTAAATATCACACAGAAAACTGATCAGGAATTTAAAACCCAAAATAAATGTTACACAATACCTAAACAGTGTGACTATATTTCTAAATAAAAATTTCAAATATATACATACTCTTTCTTTTTAAATTCAATCAGTTCACTACAGGGTATTCTATTTTGGCTTTCTGGCAGTAAGTTCTCTAGAATTCAAAATATGATAGTTAAAAGTATGTTACATACTATTCATATTAAAACTTACCGATTTATTTAAAAATTTAGGATTCACATGGATGCTAGACGTATTCACATTGGGGGGTAGAGGTTTAATAGGCCAAGCAGGATCTAATGAATTGACTCTGACATCCAGGGCATAAAGTTTCTTCAATGGGAATATTTCATCCCATGTGGAACGTAACTTAAATAAACTTTTCCTAGTATTTTCATCCACCTAGAACAACAGAACAATTCTATGGCTTGTTAAGTTACTATAGAATATTTTATATATTAAATGTTACATACATCTGCTCTACTTCACATATAGTTACTACCAATTGGTAAGTATATACAACAGTAATAATTTATTAAAAGTGCATTTCTCCTTCAAAAACAGAATTAAAGCCATTTTCACCTAGCCTTCATGCAAGCAACCAACTAGGCGAGTCTTTGTACAAAACGTTTCCACATCTTAGAGCTTAGTATAATATTCTTAATGTTACTCTTACTCTGGAAAAATATTAAACAACTAGAAAAATGGATTACCTAATGGCTTCAATGTTTTAAATTATTTACACTGCAGTACAAAGTTAAAACTAAGGCAAAACTACCTCACTAACCAATGCTCAATACTACTACATGGTTGAGTACCTATGAACAAGTATCGTGATGTGGAAAGCACTTTAATAACTGAAATTCACAAAACCTTAACCACTGACAAGCCTTAGTTTTAAATAGGTTATCTGCTCACGTTTGTGATGCCATAACAATTTCTAGAAAATCTGCCACTGCTGGCGACAGTAACTCACACCTGTAATTCTAGCACTTCGAGAGGCCTAGGCAGGCGGATCACATGAGGTCAGGAGTTCAAGACCAGCCTGGCCCGACCAACATGGTGAAACCCCATCTCTACTCAAAATACAAAATTAGTCGGGTATGGTGGTTCATGCCTTAATTCCAGTTACTGGATAGGCTGAGGCAGGAGAATCGCTTGAACCCCAGAGGCGGAGGTTGCAGTGAGCCAAGATCACGCCATTGCACTCCAGTTTGGGAAATAAGAGCGAAACTCTGTCTCAAACAAGAAAGAAAGAAAGGAGAAGGAAAGAAGAAAGGAAAGCAAAGAGGAAAGGAAACAGGAAAGGAAGGAGGAAAGCAAAGGAAGAAAGTTCACCATCAAGAAACCTAGGACTCTGGAAAACTGAATTAGATGTTTAACATCAGGATAAACGATAAAGTCTTAATTATATTCCTAAGTCTTTAGATGATAATATATTTATTACAAGGTCATTTTAATCAACTGTCAGGTTAATGCCCAGTTAGATTCAGTACAGGCATGCTACCAAATACCCAAGTGAATCTGAAGACCACTGAAACTGAAACCAAGAGGTTGGTTAAGCTTCAGACTACAGCCTCAGGTTAGCAGTATTCAACAATTGTGTACAATACTCTATTAATAAGCATTTTAATGCTATCTGATATAGAGCGTTCCAAATTTCTTCTGTATATAATATGCCATTTCTTTTATCTAAGAAAATATTTCTCAAATAGCAACTACATATTTTCTTATAAACATGTAAAATCTAATACTGAATAGTTCTTCCAAAAAAATTCCAATTCTACACATCTGACAACTGACAGAACAGGTATTCATCTACTAAAATATAATAACTAGCACCAATTACTGACATTAAGAAACAATCTTTAAACCTAAGTATCTCATAAGTGCCCTTTGCTCAATGTGAAAGATACAGCCTGACAGAGAATTACCTCAGCAGATCCCTTGCCTTTCTCAACATAATACGGCTTTAACCAAACCACCATGTTACAATGTTATGGAAGAAATTTACAATCTCTAGATATGGAAACTAATATTAGCCTAATTTCTGAACACTAAGGTAGGGGGGAAAGTATTTCCAAAATAACCTACAGCAATTAACTGGTCCCACCATTCACACATACCAACAACATTCACCTAAAACATACTTGGAACAATGCAACAAAAGAAGAAACATTTCCAGAAAACAAAACAAAAAAACACACAAGTTTCAGGAACCGATCACAGGTCGAGACACTAAAGGATTATGCTTTTTTCCCCAGAGAGTAAGTCAACATCCTAACACCAGAAATTTAAACAATGAAATCTGATTTACTCTTGACAATTTCAGATCCTTTTGCCTAATTCGTAGTGATGAAACAGATGTTCAAATGAACAAACTCAATTTTTTAAAAAAAAAAAAAAAGCACAACTCTAAAAGCAAATCCATCTATTCTTACATGGCTAATGTAAACCCCTAGAATCTGCTCTAAAAAACTAACATACAACATTAACTTGAGCCTCTTTCTTCAAAATGATACTAACAATAAATGTTCAAGAGAATAAAACATTTCCCACCACCCAAGAAAACCCAACACAAAGCAAATATTTATTTAATCAGGAACACATTTTTTAAAAAAAGTTTCTAAATGCATATGTACCTTTTCAAACACACAAATAAATGTTGCAACTAGATTTTTAGTAAAGGCAGTGAGATACTCTCTTCCAACGTTTTTCACAATAGAATCCATAAGGTACATAACAGGAAGCTTCTCTGAGGAAGGAGCCTGAATAAAAAGAAACTGAGAAGTTTAGTATAATGAATTCCCACCAAAGAATTACTTTTAAAAGTGAATTTTTAAACCTACAATAGAGACCTCTATTTTTGTTGATACTAAATACTTTTGAATTAATCTTTATGAAACTTAAGTGTTCAATCAAGTTCTCATATCTTACGATCCTTAATTGAGCACACAAAAGCTCAGAATTACCAGGATGAACAGCTACCCATTTAACACTCAATGAGATACCAGGTTCATGTGGAAAAAAGACCTGTGTTTTAAGTGACAAAAATGAGGAGGCGAAGGAAAATTACTTTCTGTAATCCCAGTGTCAGTTTTGGGACCCATATTAACTTACAATGGTGTGCCTACACTCAAAGCAGTTTTTAGACCTCTTGTAGAACCTCTGATTTCCATAGCCATATTTATATGTTCAAGTCTATGAAGCTTTGTTACCTGTAAAATCACTAGGATTACTTCTCTATAATCCAAATTTAAAAAAATTTAAAAACACTTCATATGGAAAGTCAATGGCAAAACACTGAAACTTGCACATGAACATGCAGGAAGTTGCAAGTTTGTTACTCAGACAAGAAAAACTGGATGGAGCAGCCGCTGAATCATGTAAATCAGGTTGAACTTGACTCTGGAAGCCAGGATTTGTCCTGAAGATTTTCTTCACAGCCTGGACTCTCCGCCGAGATATTTTCCTCTGACATGCACAAACCAGGGGTTATAAATTTGTGCAAAGCCAGTGTGGTGATGCTGATACAGATGGCCCTTTCCAAAGTAAAGAAACGTTGCCCCAGTTCAAATGCAATGCCTACCCATCACTGGCTTTTAGAAGGCACAGTAAGCTTCCAGAAAGCATCAGCAGGTTCACAGACTTGTTGAGGAGCATTAAGACACACCATAATAAAGTTTTAACTGACTCCAAAGGAGCACCCATGATTTTTAAAAGACAGAACAAAAAACTTAGGTTATCCCCATTTACCCACCCCATGTGTATAGGAATCTTAACCCTGAGTAACACTTAACCCACAGCTGCCTGAAGCTAGGGTAGGCTCACAGTTCTAGAGTACACAGTGCCATCATATTTAATAAAACCAACTGCCCATACAAGTGTGTGGAAATGCTCTTGCTTCTGATAACACCTTTACGATCAAAAGTTGGCTAAGGAAACCTTTGAATAATTTTGTATGAAAAATATTTTTCAGGTACTAATAACAGGGTTCACCCATTGCATATGGGTCAACTACAGTAAATACGAATTATGTCAAAGGGTTTACTGCTGTGTCTTTACCATGTTGTTTTACACCATTTTAGTTATTATTGTACTTATGAAGATAAACAGGCTCTCTTTAACACCAAAGTCCGTTAAGTAGGCTAATTTTTTATTACACAAGTGAAGTCCTTATATGTAATATTTTTCGCTACTGCTCTCTCGGGAGGAGTCAAATTAAGTGTGAATCCTTAAGTTTAGTAACGCAGAGAAGCTAAAGAATAAGGACACAAACATTCACCTCCAAAACACAAAACCAGGCCAGTTTGCTACCAAGTAACAGAAAATCCCTCCCCTCACCCTCCATCCCAAACCGGATTTAGTTCCCCCAAAGTGACTTTTACATCTTTTCCTCAATCTGGCTATACAAAAATAACCAGGAAACGTGTGCCCCCAAAACTTCAGCTGTCTTTTACCAGCAAACAGCCCATCTATTTTCACCACTGTGTAGCGACATACAAACAAGTTTTATGTGGTCACTATATTCAGCATTTAGTTTTCGGTTTTTGAAGGTCTTCTGGATCCATTAAAAACCAGCAAGGAAACTGTTCTTTTGAGTGACAACCTGAGCTGCTAAATATTAGACGCTGTGGAATATTAAATCCCAAGTCACGAGGTAATTAGAGTTTAAAAATCAGTGTTTTTGCCTTAAAAACACAAGTGCTTTAAGGCATTTAATGTCAAGTTAAGCCTTTATCAAGGCAAAAACTTAGTTTTCATGTCCAAGATGTTTGTGGTATCAATATAAAGCATGTTGAGTATGAGGAATGCTTCCTTTTTAAATCTCATACTTAAAAAAAAAGCTGTTTTACATACACATTCACAGGAAAATGAACGAAAACTTGTATTTTAGCTGTCAGACTGAGCATGATAAATTTGTTGAGGCCCTTAAAAAAAGAGGGGGGAAAAAAACCCTTCCTTTTCGTCCTCTTTAAAGTATGAAAGGACCACCTGAAACCGTGTATCTTGTGAAGAGATATACCCAAAAGAGTGGATGGAACCTAAAGAAGAATGAACCCAAGTCACTTAAAGACTTTTGTTTAAAACACACAACCACGTAGGTAAAAATAAGTCTTGGAAACAGATTCTACACCTTACAAAGGTAAATAAAAAAGACAAATACATATTTTATATGTTTTATTCACAAATTTTATAATACCAGTCACACATTTCAAAACCATTTATTAGAGTCAGACCACTCAGTTTTACACTAGACAGAAACCGTCTCTAAACAATATATTGGTGGTTGTTGTTAAAGTGGCCTTTAAAAAGGGGTTCACTCTGCTAAAAGGAGGCTCATCCTGATAACTGCAATCACTAACAACTAGAAAAAACTAAACCGTAAGTACAAGCTTGAAAAATAAAATGTAGCACTGGGACGCTATTAAAACTCATTTAACTAAGTTTAACAGTAACTTTACTTAAATGACATATCGCTCCCATATGAATCCACAGAAGAGGAGGACTACAGGGAAATATAAGGTGGCAGAAGACCACTTCTGTCAAGGGGTAAAGAAAACACTCCTTCACTATCAGGGAAGGGAGAAAAAAGAGAAAAGGAAGAGGAGGAGGGACTGAACTTTTCAGAGAAACTGCAAGTACTTGTTACCCGCTGGGCCAGCTCTCCACCTACAGGTTGGATAAGATCTCCTCCCTCCCACCCAAACCCCACCCTCAAGCCCACTTGCCCCCCTATTTGGGGACAAATCAGACCCTCCGATAGGAAAATATAAGTTCTATCTAGCCGCCCCCACCCCAAAATGGGGCTGACGGGTGTGAGCAGCTGCCTGGCTGGCAACGAATGGATTCTCCTCTCTTCCCTTTTCGCATCATGTGCTTTTCAGGCGCCATGTTGGGCTCCTAACAGGCGGCTGCTCCACTCGGGGCCAATTCCCTATTCCCACCCACCAACAGCTCGCTCCCAGGTCCCCCTTCACCTCCTTCCAACCCACAGAGCACAATTACCAAAGAGGGTGCTAGGGGAAAACGGGAGACCCACTCCCCCACTTCCCAGAGGGTTAAAATGGCTTAGGTTAACTCTTACTTCCCCAAACCACAAACTGCCTTTAAGTCTCCCCCACCCCAAAGGGCTCTATTCAAAGCGTGTGCGTGTCGGGATATACAATGCGGTGACCTAAAAAGGGAGTTGGTAAGCGGAAGTGCGACTCCACCCTTTATCCTCCCCACTCCCTCCCCCCGAGAGGCCCAAGCTCGAAGCCTGGGCCAGAGACCGAGCCAGAGTTGGAGGGGGTGGGGGGGTGGGGTGGGGGGTTGGAGAGAAGGAACACTGTCCCCCTTTGGATGGAAGCGAGACCTGGGATGAGGCTGACACTAAAATCAGGGAGTATTAGAAGAATAGGAGGCTGCGGGGTGTATAAAAACCTTGGCGGTTTGGGCCTCGATGAGAGAGACGATCTCCTTGGCGAAGGGCAGGTTCTCCTCGGCTAGAATGGTCAGCATGTTGATGTGCGGCTTGCTATTGAAGGTCAGGTCTTCGAGCGATGACTGATAATCCCGACAGGCGTCCTCCCGGGCCCCCGCAGCCCCGGCCTCGGCCGGCGTCTGCTCTGACATTGCGCCGCGGCCCCCCTCCGAGATCCGCCGCAGCTGAAGCTGAAGCCGCTCTGGATACCCCGCCTCCCTTCCGACTCCTCTTCCTCTCCCCGGTTCTCTCGCGGCTCCGGCTTCACCACATGCTGACCGCGGAGGGGGGATGGGGGACGACACAGGGGGAACCTCGGGTATGAAACGCCGCCGTCTCGCGGGTGATCTCCGTCCACTTGCAGCCGCCACAGAAGCTTCTTTCTCCACAGACACAAAATGGCGGAGGCAGTGGCGGCTCCAGCTCCGAAAATGTCTGTGTTCCCAACCGCTGCGTCGTGCGAAATGAGTTAGGGGAGGGGAAATGTGCGGTAAAAGGGCGGGGCCGTTGATAAATCAAGGTGTGATTGGCTGACCCGGCAACGTCACGAGCCCCGCCCCCGGCCCTTCCGCAGGACGTCCTGGCACCGCCTTCTTCTCCAGCCTCTATCCGGACTTTCGCAACATCTACTGTTCAGAGGTGCGCTGGAAAAGACGGCCCTTCTCATTGGCCAATTCATAAGAGACTGTTCGGTCATTTGTTACCATAACAACCAGTTCAGGGAAGCCAATAGGCCTAGAGAAGGCAGCTCCCGAGGCCCAACCCAACCAGTTGAAGAAGAAGGCTCAGCCGTCCCCTCTCCGTCCCGCCCTCTAGCGTCCCAGCCACTGAGCGAGTCCGTCAATCATCTTCCCTCCCGCCTGCCCCGCAGTCGCTGCCGACGGTGGGGGCTGGAGGGAGCGGAGGGTTTTAACGCCGCACTCCCTCTCCGCTAACGTCTCAGGTGCTCTCGAGAGTCTGGGCGGGTCCAGCTGCCGGGACCGGCTGTCCCTTTGGGAACTGGGACGTAGGCGGGAGGTGCCGAATTTACCCGGAACCTCGGCAGGCACCGCTGTAGAGTTGATTCCGACACGCCGCTTCCTACACCCGCAAGACTACCGAGGCCGGCTTGCCTGAGTTAAATCCTCAGGAAAATGCCTTTTATTTAGAGGTTAAGTGTGAAAGGCTTTTTTCCCTGGGGGTTTGGAGGCGCTCTTTAAGGAGCCCATCCAGATCTCTAGCAAGAGTTTTTCACAACAGCCTCACCAAGCTCGGACACTAGTATCTCCACCGTGAATCTTCTGCATTTCAGAACCTCCTTAGAATACACTATTTGGGGCACGCAGGGAAACACACACGCGCGCACACACTTTTGTTTTAAACTTGTCTCTTCCCAGGCTGGAAATGATGCTCGCAAAACACACAAAGCATTCAAATAGTTCCACCATGGAACTGCGACATAACACAAACCAAACGTAATTTTTTCATTGAGCAGCAATATTGATAGGCTTTTAAAATGCGTCGGTTGCCTAAAATTGCTTTACCCTTGCCTTCCGTAGGCTGCTAGGCACTTGAGAGATACTTCGTTGCACCCCCGAAGAAATAAATTTAGCTGGGCATGGTGGCGTGCGCCTGTAATCGCAGCTACTTGGGAGGCTGAGACAGTAGAATCGATTGAACCCAGGAGGCAGAGGTTGCAGTGAGCGGAGATCGCACCACCGCACTCCAGACGGCAAGAGAGTGAAACGCTGTCTCAGAAAACATATAAAGAAAGAAACTACTCTTTACTTGTCCCATACAAAGTAGTATTTTCATTTCTTCTCTTTTTTAGCATCTTTATTGATGTGTAATTGAAACATAATGAACTGCATAGTGTGCTGCAAGGTTAAGTTTTGACTTGTGTTTTCATTTTTTCTTAGCATGATATCACACGTGAATGAAAAGTAAAACCTGGGAGGAAAACTGGTCTCCCTCATTTGAAACTAGGAAATATTGTTTTTTGTTGTTATTGTTGTTTGTTTGTTTGTTTTAAGACGGGGTTTCACCATGTTGGTCAGGCTGGTCTTGAACTGCCGACCCCAGGTGATCTGCGCGCCTTGGCCTCCAAAGTGCTTGGATTACAGGAGTGTGCCACCATGCCTGGCCAAGAAATACTGTTGAATAAGTATAATCTCAATAATTTCACGCTATTGTTAGTAGTGATATTTAGATACACTGGAGAGTTCAAACTAATAACATTCAAAGGTTTTATTTTCTGGAGGGAAATGGCCAGGGCAAAATAGTCCTCTGTTCATTTTCTTTTCATTTTAAAGGTAAATTTCCTCACTAAACTTTAAGTTATAGAAATGTCTGCCTTTTAGTGCTTTTGGCTTTATTTTAACAGCAAAGTGAACTTCTAAAAAAAACTTAAAGGTTTCAAAGCTCTGATTTGGCTTTTACTGTATCCCTCACAGACTATATACAGAGTAAACTATATCTTAGCACATTAATCAACAAACCTATGTCCCAACAAATGACATGGAAAACTCAAGTGACTAGCAATCTTATTCAAATCATGTGGTATATTGTAGCAAGAATATTTTTTCTTTAAATACTCAGGACAGGGCACAAATATCCTAGATAATTGGGATTTTAAATACAAGTAAATGCACAAAACTCTCATAGGTTTTCAGTACCAGTTCTTTCATCAGAATATGCAACTAATTTGCTTTCCACGAACATTAAGCTCCGGTTATCTGCCTAGCTCTATGCTAAGTGCAGTGGTGAAGAGATAGCCCCTTGGCCATACCTTCATGAAATGTATACCTCAATCATCATCTCATGTAGTAATGTGAAAAAGTACTACATTTGACCAGGAAACAGTAGTATCCCAGAACTATTTTCAATGATCGAATCTACTAATTATGGTGTTTCTGCAGAATATGAAGCATTTCCCTTGTTTTTGAGGAAAATAACTATACCCTTCCCTTGGTTCACACAGTATTTACAAGCGGAATTAATTCCTCCTTTAAAAAAACCCCGTCAAGGCCTGGCGCGGTGGCTCAAGCCTGTAATCGCAGCACTTTGAGAGGCCGAGGCGGGTGGATCACGAGGTCAAGAGATCGAGACTGTCCTGGTCAACATGGTGAAACCTCGTCTCTACTAAAAATACAAAAATTAGCTGGGCATGGTGGCGCGTGCCTGTAGTCCCAGCTACTCGGGAGGCTGAGGCAGGAGAATTGCTTGAACCCAGGAGGCGGAGGTTGCGGTGAGCTGAGATCGCGCCATTGCACTCCAGCCTGGGTAACAAGAGCAAAACTCCGTCTAAAAAAAAAAAAAAAAAAAAAAACACCCGTCAGCCTGGAAGTGGTAATAATTGTCAAAAAATAAACAAATTTTTTTTTTTTTTTTTTTTTTTTTTTTTGAGACGGAGTTTCGCTCTTGTTACCCAGGCTGGAGTGCAATGGCGCGATCTCAGCTCACCGCAACTTCCGCCTCCTGGGTTCAAGCAATTCTCCTGCCTCAGCCTCCTAAGTAGCTGGGATTACAGGCACGTGCCACCATGCCCAGCTAATTTTTTGTATTTTTAGTAGAGACGGGGTTTTGCCATGTTCGCCAAGATGGTCTCGATCTCTCGACCTCGTGATCCACCCGCCTCGGCCTCCCAAAGTGCTGGGATTACAGGCTTGAGCCACCGCGCCTGGCCAAAATTTTTTTAATAAAAATACAAAAAATCATTGAGAAAGGTTGTATAATTTACATTTTTGCAAATTTGTTTATAATATCTGGCTTAATAGAAGACAGATGGATTCTGAGGTCTGCTTCTGCATTTACTCTTGCAATAACACAGGTCATGTTTCTGGAAAGCTCCATTGTACTCTAGTGAAAAGTGAAAAATGAAAATAACGTATTAGGCTTATTATGAAAATAATTTTTTTTTTTTTTTTTTTTTTGAGACGGAGTTTCGCTCTTGTTACCCAGGCTGGAGTGCAATGGCGCGATCTCGGCAACCTCCGCCTCCTGGGTTCAGGCAATTCTCTCGCCTCAGCCTCCTGAGTAGCTGGGATTACAGGCACGCGCCACCATGCCCAGCTAAATGAAAATAATTTTTACTTCAAGTCCCCCTGTTACTTTGGTGACTACTGCATTGAAATATAATACTATATACCCTTTTAAAAGACTGAATAAACTGTGCTACTGTAGAACAATTTTATTTATTTTTTTTTTTTTGAAAGAGTGTCACACAGCCACCTAGGCTGGAGGGGCAGTGGTTCAATCTCAGTTCACTGTAACCACCAACTCCTGGGTTCAAGAGATTCTCCTGTCTCAGCCTCCCAATTAGCGGGGATTACAGGCACTTACAATCATGCCCAGCTCATTTTTGTATTTTTGTTAGTACAGGCAGGGTGTCACCATGTTGTCTAGGCTGGTCTTGAACTCCTGACCTCAGGTAATCTGCCCGCCTTGGCCTCCCAAAGTGCTATGATGACAGGTGTGAGCCATCTTGCCTGGCCGAGCAATCTTTAAAATACATTCAGTTTCAACTATACCACAAGGTAACCATTTAAAAAAAAAAATACATTCAGTGAAGAAATAAATAAAAGCAAGATACAGAACTGTTTACATGGTAGTTCAGCACCGCATTAACTTAAAAAATACATGGAAAAAGAATATATACATATAAATAAGTATTTGCTTATATATACATGTAAAATTACTGGAAGAATATGCAAAAGAACTGGTAATAATCGCCTATGGACCAGGCAACCAGAAAACATGTCAAAAAGAAATCTTTTCAGTTAATTCTCTTTTTAATGTTTTAAACTTTCTACCTTAAGAGGCTGGGTGTATGAAACAAAAATAAAAATTAAAAAAAAAAAAAGAGCCTGGGCATGGTGGCTCATGCATGTAATCCCAGCACTAGTTCAAGACCAGCCTGGCCAACATGGTGAAACTCTGTCTCTACTAAAATACAAAAATTAGCCAGGTATGATGGCACGTGCCTGTAGTCCCAGCTATTGGGAACTTGAGGCAGGAGAATCATTTGAACACAGGAGGCAAAGGTTGCAGTAAAAAAAAAAATAACAACCAAAAAAAAAACCTTTCTACCTTATGAAAATATTAACAAATCTTAAAATGAATGTTTTTTCAAGAGATTATACATAATATATACTATATGTTATATAATATAAATTGTATTATATACATAATATATATAACATTATTATATATATATATATATATATATATGCTTTCCACATGCCTGGCAGACAGTTAATATAATGCCTTTTGATTCTGAGATAAAACCATTATTTTTAAAACTTTTTTAACAATAGGAAAAATGTAAAACACTTCAGAATCTTTCATCCTGAATGCACACACTTATTAAGCTGCCTTAGGATTAAATACACAAAATCCAAACATCCTGATTATTGTAGTTATTTTAAATCTTTTATTAGAATGATCACAATAATTGTGGAGATAGCCAAACATGAATCTAAAAATAATGTCCAATTCAATCAGGCAGTAAACA